ACACCCATGCTTCTGCGATTGCCGTGGTGTTACACAGCATGTACACAGCCTTGCTGCATCTTGGCCAGGTCACCATCGGGAATGACAGTGGGAGGCTGGCAGTTGATGACCACCTTGAATCCAGTGGGGCACCAATCCACAAACTGAATTGTATGCTTTGTCTTGATGGTGGCAATCACAGTGTTCACGTCTTTGGGGACCACCGTGTCCTTCGTACAACATACAGCAGGCCATGTACTTGCCGTGGCAGAGGTCACAGGACCATCTGGATGGCTGGCTCAAAGCAGGCATTGGTGATGTCTGCCACAGACAGCTGCTCGTGATATACCTTCTTGGCTGATATAATGGGAGACAGGTAGCCAGGGGAAAGTGGATAGGGTACCAGGTTCGTTTGGAATTCTGTCAGGTCAACGCTCAGCGCCCCATCAAAGTGCAAGGAAGCCGTGATAGAGGAGATGATCTGCCCAATCAGACAATTCAGGTTGGTGTACATAGGTCATTCGATACCGAGGTTATGCTGACATATGTCACATATGGCTTCATTGTTGACCATGAAGGCACAGCTGGTGTTTTTCAGGGTTGTGTGAGTGGTGAGGATGGAGTTGTAAGGCTCCACGACCGCTGTGGAAACCTGGGATGAAATGGCAAATTCAAGCTTGGACTTCTTGCCATAGTCAATGGAGAGCCCTTCCATGAGCAGAGAGGCAAAGCCAGGGCTGGTGCCTCCTCAAAAGCTATAGAAGATGAGGAAGCCCTACAGCCCGATGCATACATCTGCCAGTCTGCGAATCGATCTCCTTGATGATGATAAATGGCCTCAGGCATTTTTGGCCTCAGGCATAACTGTTGGCTGCCTCATCCTTTCCGGTTATCAGCTGCTCAGGATCGAAACACTGCCTACGTGTCAGTAGGAACTTAATCAACTACAGTTGGCTCCAGGTCCACAAACAGCTCTGGACATGTGCTTGCCAGCCCCAGTCTCACTGAAGAACATGTTAAAGGAATCATCTTCACCACTGATGATATTTTTTCCTTTTTTTTTTTTTTTAAAGGCAATTGGGGTTAAGTGACTTGCCCAGGATCACACAGCTAGTCAAGTGTCAAGTGTCTGGTCTGAGGCCAGATTTGAACTCAAGTCCTCCTGACTTTGGGGGAGGTGCTCTATCCACTGCACCACCTAGCTGCCCCAACCACTGATGATTTTATCACTTGGCATCTGACCATCAGGCTGGATTCCATGCTCGAGACAATACAATTCCCAGCAGGCATTGCCAATACGAACCCCTGCCTGTCTGACATGGATGGAGATACACTCACGCATGATGAGATGGCAACACCAACACTGCTGCCCTTGATGACCAACCCAGAAGCTGTTTTTAAAAGACTAACAAACCTAGTAACAAAACTAATTTTAAAAAAAGAAAACAAAACCAAATTACAAAAATTAGAAAGGAGATATGATGGCAAAAGAAATCAAAGAAACAATTAGATTCTTATACACAACTCTAAGCTACAAAATTTAAGATGCAATGAACAAGCATTCATAAGGACCTATTGTGTGCCTCTTGCAATGCAAGATAGCTAATCAGAAAGACAAAAGTGAAACAGTATCTGACCTCTACAAGCTTGCATTCTATCAAGGGAGATAATATATCTGTATATAAAATATATATATTAGAAAGAAAACAGATGGAAGGAAATTTGAGGGAAGAGATAGCACGAGCAGCTGGGGGGGAGGGGAATGAGGAAAACCTTCATGTACAAAGTGGTGGATGAAGAAAACTGGGGATTCTAAGAGATAGAAATATAAGGCTGTGTGCTCCAAACATGAGGAACAGCCAATGCAAAAGCATGGAGAAGGGAAGAGTCTCACAGTAAGGAGGTCACTTTGGCTAGACTGGAGCATAGATGGAAGAAAGGGATATCTAAAAAAGGTATCTTGAGGTCAAGTTATGAAAAGCTTCACACACTCTAACATATGCATGTGTAAGATGTGTGTGTGTATGTGTGTAAATATTTATACATAATCCAGCCTCAATCTTTCTCTTAACCTCCAGTCTCACATCTCCAACTGCATCTCGGAAATCTCAAAATGGATATCCCAGAGATATCTTAAACTCAACATGTCTAAAACTAAACTGATTTCTCTTTGTCTCTAAACTCTCCTCTCTTCCTGTCTTCCCTATTTACTGTGAAGGGTACCACCATCCTCCCAGTTACCTAGGCTTGTAAAATTTAGGTGTCATCCTAGACTCCTCACTCTTTTTCATCCTCCAAATCCAATCTGTTTTCAAATCCTATTGATTCTCAACAACTGATCTATAAGCTCCGTTCTCTACTCTGATACTTTGTTGTTGCTGTTCAGTAGTTTTTCAGTCATGTCTGACTCGTAATAGCCCCGTTTGGGGTTTTCTTGACAAAGATACTGGAGTGATTTACCATTTTCTTCTCCAGCTCCTTTTATAGATGAGGAAACTGAGGCAAACAGGGCTAAGTGACTTGCCCACGGTCACACATTTAGTAACTGAGGCTGGATTTCAACTTTGACACTGTCACAAACCAAATGCAGGCCCTCCTCACACCTGTTTTATTACAACAGCCTTCTGGTTATTCTCCCTGCCTCAAGTCTCTCCCCCACTCCAGTCCACCCGCCACTCAGCTGCCAAACTGACGTTCCTAAAGCATAGGTCTATGTCACTTCCCTACTCAATCAACTCCTGTGACTCCCTATTACCTCCAGGATCAAACATAAAACTATCTATTTGGCTTTTAAAACCTGATGTTCTTTCCAATTCTATGCATTTTCATTGGCTGTCCTCTGCCAAGCCCAAGCCTGGATTCTCTCCTCATCTGCATGATTACTCTTGCCATTATTAAACAACAGAAACAAGTTATAAAAAATAAAAGATTAAGCATCAGCACTGAAGAAGTTAAAACACTTCTTTTTGCAGAGAGTATGATTATATAACCAGGAAACTCAAGGTAATTAATGGAGTAACAAATTACTTTAGCAAAGTAGAAGGATAGAGATGTTCAAAAAATCCTCTCAAAAACCATCTGCATTCCCATACACTACTAACAAAAATCGAGGAAAATTGATAGAGATAAGAATACTTTTACAATGACAAAATGAATCAAATATTTGGGTTATTAATCTATGAAGGGAGGTATCACAGTGTTGGGGATAGATGGACAAGCTCTGGAATAAGGATGACCACGGTTAAGGTTTTGCTTCTGGAATATATGACTGGTATGACCACAGACAAGTCACTTACCTTCTCAACACCACAGGTAACTCTCTAAGATTAAGTTAACAGAGGAATCTTTGATGGCAAAAGGAATGTCCACGCCAATGAAATTATAGATCCTAACCAAATAAATATTCTATCAAGATATACAAGAGACCTATATAAAGTCAACTTTCAAAATATTATTAATCAAAATCAAGGAAAAACTAAATATGTGGATAGTCTCTGTTCATAGTTATCTCAAACAGATAGTAAAAAAAATGTTAATATTTCTTCACTAGCTTACCAGTTTAATGCAATACTAATCAAAATATAACAGGTTATTTCATAGAATTAAATAAAGTTACAATAAAATCCTCATGGAAAAACAGATAGGCAAGGATATTCATAACATGTATGAAAAAGAAAACCATCAAAGCACAGCACTCTCAAATCACAGAAAGTATTATCAAGCAATAATTCCTTTAAAAAAAAAAAAAGAAAAAACTTATCTGGCATTAGGGGAAAAAAAGAGATACAGATAAGAAATGAAAGCCAGAAAATAAAACCTAATGTATAGAGAATTTTAGTGTTTGTTAAACCCACATTTAAACACTAGGGAATTATATCACTTGTCAATAAAAACTGTTGTGAAGATGGAATAGCTGTATGGTGGCAGATGGGTTTAGATCCATAACTCCAACATACACTAATATAAACTGATATAAAGAAAGATTGGTGGCCTAAATATTTTAAAAGTCATTAAAAAAGCTGTTACAAAAAAGAATGATATACTTCTTTTAACTGTGGAGAATAGGAACATTTTCATCAGAGAATAATTGGAGATAAAAATCAGTAGTTTTAAAAAAAAACGAAAAAGGATTTTGTACCACAAAAATAATCTCTCTTAAGATAAATGTCCAATATTCAGAACATATAAGGAAACATATCTATAAAACTAGTAATATAAACTGTCCAGTGTGTCAGTGGTTCAAATACATAAGCAATTTATGGAGAGAATACAAACTGTTCACGACTAAATGAAAAGATACTCAAATTCCATAATAATCAGATAAATACATACCCAAGAAATCAGAATAAAAAATACCAAAAAAAAAAAGGAGAAAATCCAATGTTGGTGACACTACTGTTTAACTGTTTCAGTTCTAATATACTGTTGACAAAACTGAAGATTAATATAAATATTTGAAGAACAATATAGAAATATACAATGGTAATAAAACTAATCAGACCTTTTGACAGACCTTTTGACCTAACAATTCCATTTGCTAGGATTTTATCTTTAAAAAAATCATAAAATCATAAAACTTATCTGTATACAAGTATTTAGAGCTGCTCTATTTATAATAACAAAAAACTATATTTTGGGAACAATCTATAAGTACAATTGGAAAATGACCGATGAATTATGGCATATTACTGTGAAATGACATTACGGTAGTATTTTTAAGAGATAGAAAGACCTTTATGTAAGATGAAAAGTGAGATCAATAGAACTGGAACTACATATTTAATAACTTCCATTATCTTGGGAAAAAAAGCCAAAAGAACTCTAGATACATCTGGAAAAGGATTTAGAGCAAAGCGTTTTTGCTTGTCAGCTGTTTGTTAATTCATTTGGTTCTATTTTGTAAAATACTGATGTTTTAAGAAAATTTTGTTTCTCACCTTGTATTAACATTTGATTGTTTTTAAGTGTACAACAAATTTTAAAGATTTTTAATAATAATAAAAAGATAGGCATAAACTTACCTTTTCAACCCAAATCAATTCCACCTTTTTCTTTCCACTGCAACATTGATGAAATGTAGAGTAACTGAAATCCACTTTGGAAATATGCTAATTGACTCCAAAAGGCCATCGAGAGACTTTCAACTAAAATTGAAAAGCCCTACAGAGTTCTGCAAAAGAGAGTAACCAAAAATTAAGATACGTGCAGTAAAACACAGTTCTAATATACACACACATATCTTAATTAGCATTTCAGGTCTAATATAGCTTTACAATGCTTTATAGTGGGAAGGGAATTATTATTTTTATATTAATTGATATATGTGTAATGAATATGCTAATAATTTAGATTTTTGAGAATTGCCTCTTCTGGCATGCAAGTGAGAAACTTACAATGCAGCTTCAAATGATTGATCAAACCCTTGACAACAACTCTCACAATCACTGTATTCTTGTGCCTGTGTACCTTAAGTGAAGCAAATCAAAGACTGTAGAACCTGTTTCCGTCACAGAACTCTGGTTCTGTGCCCCCACCAAGTAATGAGCCCCAAGGACCTGAAACAATACTTTCCCACAGGACTCCAGAACACCTGTACCTTAGTGATTGTGGGACTTGTGGGCTAGTTGTGGGATGATTTATGTATATAATCTCTGCCTTCACTACAGCAAGGTGGAATTCTGATCAGTAGAATTCCTGATTTGCAAATCTGTTCCTCATAAAGAAACGAATTAATTACTGGCACTTTGTCTCTGGCCTGCTGTTTTGTCATTCCCAGATTAAAGACTGGCTCAGTAAAATCCTGTTAACAATAGAAATGTTACCGATACCATCTACTAACATGAAAAACAAAGAGACAGATAAAAGAGGAAAAAAGCAACAGGTATATTTGTTCAGTACACTTCTAAGAAGATGAGGATCATGTCATATTTCTCTATAGGTATGGTGGCTCCTTGTATGATGATAATAGTAATAATAGTAGCTAGCACTCATATAGTGCTTTCAGGTTTGTGATTTGTTGTTGTTGAGTTGTTCCAGTTGTGGCCCCATTTAGGGTTTTCTCGGCAAAGATACTGAAGTGCTTTGCCATTTCCTTCTCTAGCTCACTTTACAGGTGAGGAAACTGAGGCAAACAGGGTTAAGTGACATGACCAGGGTCACACAACTTTTAAGTGTCTGAGGCTGGATTTGAAAATGAGTCTTCCTGACTCCAAGCCCAGAACTCTATCCACTGCACCACTTAAGCAATTAACAAATATTATCTCATTTGATCCTCACAACTCTTAAGAGGTAGCTACTCTTATTATCACTATTTTACAAAAGAGAAAACTGAGGCAAACTAAGGTTAGTCAATGAACATTTATTAAGTACCTACTATGTGCCAGGTACTGTGCTAACTGCTGATGATACAAATAAAGACAGTCTCTGCCCTCCTAGAGTTTACAATCTAACAAGGGAAGACAATACTAGGAGGAAACCCAATGTGAGGGAATGATGGAGAAATTCAAAAGCTGAGTAGCTGGGGGAAGTGGGAAGAAGAAAAATGTTAAGTTCCCTCCTTAAATGGAGGCCCTGGAGCTCATGGCCCTACCCTTCAATCAGAGGATCAAATCAGATAAACAGAAGAGACCAATGAAAATATAACTACTGAGGCTGATTGAATGCCAATGATGAATTTCCTAGGGAAGGTAGGCAGGCTAGAGAAGTCCAAAAAAGTCTAAAAGCAGGAGAGTGGGAAATGGTAAGAAGATTGTATTGAGCCCTACTTTAACGGAGGCTCTGTGAGTCACCGCCTTGTCCTTTAGTCAGAAAGTCCAAAAGGAGGAGCAACAATTGAGTTATTTGCCCAGAGTCACACAGTAACTGTCAAAGCCAAATCTGAGCTCTGATCTTCCTGACTCCAGATCTAGAGCTCTCTAGCTTACATTTAATAAATATCTGTCATATAGATAAAATCACATCTATCTCCATTGTCCTTTACTTCATTTAGCAAATATTATTTCTTCCTGTTTTTGCCAAGTGGCAAATACTTACTTGGAAATAATAATTAGTATTTAAATTATGTTTTAAAGTACATAATACTCTTTACACAGTTTTGAATCTCACTCCAACTATAAGAGGTAGACTGTTTTGTGACCATCCTCTGGCATAAGGAAGTCTCTCCTGGAAGAAGGTAGGATGCCCCTGTTGTCCCTTGCTTTCTACAATTGGGCTCTCACACAAAGACATAATCTCCTAGCTTAGGTTCAGCTATCAATAAGTTAAGTTCTTGTCCAGGTACCTTGTTTATGGCTAAGGAAAGGGCCATGGCCCAGCTGAAGCTGTAGGAGAAAGAAATCTCTTAATGAGTTTATGAGATGGAGAGAATAATATGTAAAACAATGGAAATCAGTTCATTGCAAAGCTTTATTACAAGCAATGGGGAAGAGGCGAAGAAGACAGAGAAAAGGGGACCTGATATACAGCTCTGGCATACATACTAACATACTGAGTATAATTCATGTAAGGGTGGCCATGTGTTGGGAAGCAGTCATTTATCCATTCTGCAGGAAAGGTGTGCTCCAAGATGTCCTTATGAGAAAGGGGTTTTTATACTGATTTTGGGTGCCTCCCCCAGCTGGCCAATTTGTACATCAGAGGTCAAGGCACACAGACTTGGAGGGGGGTGTTGCATACCAGGGAGAAAAACAAGCTGATAGTTGACAAAATATGATTTTGAGGCACATAGCTGTACATTATAACCTTAGATAAGTATTATTGTCAGTATATATACATGAATATGTTCTATAATCTCATAGCCTCTCTTAAGGGAAGACCATCATGATGGCCTCAAGACCATCAAGCCTAATCCTACAACAATGGTTTCCATGCATAGATTCCATAAGCTACAAGGCCTCCCTTAAGGGTAAACTGTCATGGTGGTCTCAAGACTACCAGGCCCAATCTAATAACACAGGTACTATAGGTCTCTATTTTACAGATGAAGAAGCTGACACAGAGAGGCTAATTGAGTTGACCATGGTCCACATAGCTAGCAAGCAAATGTTGAAGGCAAGGTCTAAAGCCAGGGATATAGAAGAAATCCCTATAATAAAAGGATTTGTTCTGTAAAATTTGGACTCAGTCAAGAGGCCTCACCCAAGGACCTAGAGGGCCCATTACCTAGGTTTTCCTTACTCCAAGTGTTGTACCCTGATCATTACACCACACTGCCTCTCACACTATATAGTGTTAGGTGAAGAAAAATGAAAATACTTGTACTCAAAAACCTCACAATCTAATAGGGGAATAAGAAGACATGCATACAAATAACTATTAAAATAAGTTAGAATCTGATGTAAGTACTGGAAGGGGGCTCATACTGAGAAGAACTAGGAAAGAATTACATTTAGCTAGAAGACAACATGTTCATGAAGGGGATGGCCCTTGAGATGGTTATGGAGGAAAAGAATTTCAAACAGAGAGATAGATAATGACCTCTTTCAAAGCTCTGTTCAAACACCACCTTCTGCTGAAGGTCTTTCCTGGACCCCCGAGATGCTAGAGCCTTCCCCTTTAAGGTAACCTTATACATACTCTGTTGGCACCTAATTGTTAACATGTCTCCCCAAGTAGGAACGTGAGCTCCTTGAAAGTAGAGACCATTTTTTCCTTTCTTTTTATCCTCTCCACTTTGTGAATGATAAGCACTTAATGGTAAGTGCTTAATAAATGGTTGATTGTTTTGAACATGTGGAACTGCCTATGTAACATGCACCATGTATTCCTGATTCACTTATTTACCTAGTTACCGGTGATTTTTTCCATTAATAATGTTTTGGAAAATGAATTTTAGTTTGTCCCACTTGTTGAGTGTATAAAAGTACTCAACTATAATGCAAAACTGATGAAAACTGTTACTTAAAAAAAAATGAATTCTTCTACTATCAAGTAAATTAATGACTCACCCACCCACCCAAAAGTTAAAATTGCCTTCTGAATTTTAGATTATAAATAAAATTTATCCATATCACACTTGTCAAAGGGTCAGTTTTGGGACTGGCTCCTCAAAAAGTATCAAAGAAGCAAAGCATAATATCCATAGAATATTCTATTCATCCTGAAAACTTCAGTACTCTCCACTGACCTTGTGAAGGGTAATGACAAACTACTGTCCTATAGCTCTGATCTAATTCCCTGTGATTCTGAGTCACAGGCTGCCTACACTGAAACTTCCTTGCCTAGCTGCCAACTCCTCCCCTCCACCTCCAAGTCCCATACCTTGTCAAACCTATCCCTTCCTTTGTTCTACTACTCATCTGATATCACAACTTCATTGGCCTTCTCTGCCTCTGGTGAAGTCCAAATAATATTACAGCATTGCTGAAAAACACTTTGGATGGCATGTTCACAATGCATGTTTAATTCACAGCTGGAAATTATGGATGTGACTTTTCTCTGCTCCAGTAACTATTTAGAAGTTGGAACTAATTAAAAGAAAACTGTTACAGGAAAAGGAAAGGCGACTCACAAGTAGCTAAAAAGTACAAAAAGCAGTTTCAAGGAAGCTTTATTTATTCCACACATAAGTCTCTTGGTCCCTCATTTCTTCCTCATACTTCTATTCTCCCTCCCTTTCAGGGTGTCTGGCACATTTGGGAATACCAAATTATTAAATGGCAGACAACAGTTCCTGATAGTCTATCTTTAAGTCAAACCTGTATTTATTTATTTAAAGCCCAGTATACACAGTTAATTTAAAGCCCAGTATACTACCTACATTTTTATCTGAAGATTTTAATCTTCCACAAACTCTAATGTTTCGCTGGGCAAATGGAAAGAGCTAGCATTTATACAGTGCTTTAAAGTTTACAAAGTGCTTTACAAACAGCTCACTTTCCTCTCTTCACAGCAATTGGTGCTATTATTACAATCATTTCATAGAAAAGGAATTTTTTTAAAAATAGCATTCCTTCCACATCCAATATATCCTGTAGCTTATTTGTACATATTGTTTGGTGTGATTTCCCTCATTGGCCTGGGATCTCTTTGAGAGCATAAACTGTTTTTTTTAACCTTTCTTTGCACACCCAGGGGTACTGACTTCACCAGCAAACAAAAACCGTGCTTAAGGTGGTTGGGGGGGAGAGGGCTCACTTTGCAGAAGTAGAATGAAATGCTCCATGAACAGTGCCAGCTGAACTACTTTCTTTTTTATGCTTTACTACGAGGGATGGCTCTCCGGGAAGAAGACGGAGCAAGGCTCTACTTGTCAAGGATGTCAGACACAGAACATTTCGATAAAAATTCGTAAGAGGACGCGCAGCGCGGGGAGCCAGGGGCCGAGCGGACTCTCGAAGCGGCCACCTGTTGGACAGCCCGGCAGCCCCTCCTCTCCTCCGTCCGCGGCCGGCGCAGGGGATGCTCCAGCTCCGTCCACCAATCTCGGCGATCTCCGCGCTGCGCTGCGCTCCGCTCTCCAGCCGCACCGAGACTGAGCGCTGCCCCCAGCGCCGGGTCGCGACCTCTCACCTTGGCCCCCTCCCTCGGAAAGGAAGGTGAAAGGCCAGACTCCCCGCCCTCCCCGCCCCCGTCCCCAGGGAGGCCCCAAGCCTCCCTGGCCCCCATCCCATCACAGGCGCACCAGCACTCGCGGCCCACCCCTCCGGGCCCAGTCTTATTCGCCCACCTCTTGACAACCGCCTCGCACAACCACCGTCGTCGTCTCCGCCGCCGCCGCCGCCGCCTCCACCTCCGCCGCCGTCGATGTCTTCGTCACCGTCGTCGTCGCCGCCGCCACAGTCGCCATGTTTGTTGTGTCTCCGCTTCCCTCCCCCTCCCCCTTCCCCCCTACTTCTCTCTTCAAGTCTCGCGTGAACGGCAGCCGCTCGCGCCCCGAGACGCCTCTGGAGAGGGAGTGGGGAGAACTACTCCGGGAAAAAAATATCCACGGCTCGCTTTCCCTCCCCCCTCTTCCTCCCCCTTCCTTTCCCCCAAATGTCCACCCCGGCCTCCCGTAGGAGCCGCGTGTGGGTGGGGGAGCGGCCGTAGGGAGTGTGTGCGGGGCGTTTCTGCCTGCCCCGCCCCCTGCTCCTCCCCTCTCCCTCCCTCCCTTCCACTTTTCCTGAGGCCGCGCTGCTGGTGGCTCGAAGCCGGAGGCAAAGTCTAACTGGAGGGGAGCCGAGATGGAGCTGGCGGCGGCGCGACTTCTGCGCTTCGGCGGAGCGGGCCTGGTGAGTGTCCCCCATGCCGTCCGACGAGAGGGCGGAGGGTCACCGTTACTTCTTCTAGCCTACCCCAAAACTAAAGGACTCGCGGCGCAGAGCGCGCCGCCCGGGGCCCCAGAAACCTCGGGGTGCTTCTCCATGGTCCTCCCTCCCGCAATCCCGGGCCGGGCTGCCCCATCGCCGCCCCTGTCCCGGACACCGCCCCCCCACCCCGGCCAAAGAAACGGACCTTCATCGCCTGGCAGCATCCCCAAAACACCGCGACCCCCCCCAACATCAATCTCCCTTCGCCCTAAATGCCAGAACACCACGACCCCCCAGACCACCAAAAACTACATGCCTCCCCCCATACTAAAATGCTACCTTTTCCCTCAAAACACCACCCCCCCCCTTTAAAACACCACTTCCCTTCCCCACAAAACCACCACCTCTTCTTCCCTCCCCAAAATACCACCTCCTTTCCCCCCACCCCAAACAAGTCCCCAAATCTCCCGCCACCTTTTGAAACCAGGACTCGATGCCTTAATTTCCCCCAAATTTAAGACCTGGAAAGGGTTCAGGCTGCCTAACTCTCCCTGCCTGCAGTCTCTGACCCTACCACGGTGACTCTGCGACAGCAGAACCATATGTCAGGCATTGGGGTGAGCCCCGAATTTCTTTGGATCCATTCTTGCATATTCGAGCCGCATTTGTAGTGCCATCGTTGAGTTTTTGAGAGTTCCAGGATCCCCATTTCCCTTCTGCAGAACAGGGAGGTCTGGGTGGTGTTTCTGAGTCACTGCATTCGTTGCAAAAACAGCAAGCAGCCACAATAACCAGACTTTTAAAAGAAGACTGGAGTTTTCACAAGGATTTGAAAATGGTTGTTTAGCAATAAGCACTTTATTATAAATGAGGAATTATTGCAGTGCCTGTTAGGAGGATTTCTTCCTCTCACAGCCTTCCAGTTATTACCAGCAGAGAGAAAGAGGTTTCTGCCTTTTTTCACAAGGTACAAAATCACTGTCTGTTTTACTTTTCCAGGTATTAAGATGAGGTGCCTCCAGTTCCTAGAAAGAAAGGAATCCCTGTAATTACTGACAATTTGCTCTCCCTTTTTTCTCAGATGACTTTTTCAGGTCTACCTACCTACCTACCTTGAGTTTCAGTCTTCTCTCAGGTGCCCGAGTATTTGATTTCCCACATCTTTCCAGCAACATATTTTCCCCCTCTTGCTGACAACTTAGAGTCCTGGAAAAGAGAATTGTCTTGGGGTCTGAGAGGCCTGTGTTTGAATCTCGAGTCTGGCATTTTCAAGCCTTTTTAACGTTGTAGCCTCTTGCTTCCATTTTCTCATCTGTAAAATTAAGAGTTTGGACTTGAACTCTAAAGCGCATTCCAGCTTGAAAGTATGAGCTCTGAGTCTTGGTTTCCTTATTTGTAGCATCATGGTGTAGCATATTTCCTTATTTGCAGTATATTTGTACCGACTACCTCACAGGCATGTTGTGAGGAAAGCGTTGTATAAACTTTAAAAAGCAGTACATGAAATCGAATCACTCCAGCATTTTAAACTCAACCACTTCAAAACACATCCACCCTTAACCTCCTTAAACTTGCCCCTCTCCCTAACTTGTATATTGTTAATGGCACCACCACATTCCTAGGCTCTTAACTTTTAAAGTTATTTTTGGATACTTTCTTTCTACCATACCTCATCCAAGTTGCCTCCTGGTATTACTTCTAAGATCTGTCTCAAATGTCTCTTGTAATTCAGTTGTGTCTGACTCTTAATGACCTCCTTTGGGATTTTCTTGGTAAAGATATAGGAGTGCTTTGCAGTTTCCTTCTCCAGCCCATTTTACAGACTCCAGACCTGGCACTCTATTCACTTTACCACCTAGCTCCCACCATCGATGTCTCTAGCAGTGTAGTTTAGACCTTCATTTTCTGGACTCTTTTAACAGTCTCCTATCTGCCAAAACAATCAGAAGTAATTTGCCCAATATGATGCCAGTAGTAAGTGATAACTTGGGATTGGAACTCAGATTCTGTAACTCCAAATTCAGTCCTTTTGCCATGCCTCAGTAAAGATACCCAAGGTTAAATTCCTCAGATATCGGTTGTTTCACTTTAGGCAGTTTACTTTAGTAACCTGCAACTATTTAGTAACAGAACAATAATTAATTGCCTGTTACCCAAAATGTCCTCACCTAGAGAGAACTCCCTGTACAGTATAAAATCATACTTCTGGACTCCCCCCCCCCACCTCCCCCACATTTAAACACTGGCAGCCTATCTTTTTATCTGCTTTATTGAAAAGTGATTCAGCAACCAACTTACCACCTTTTGATGCTGCTTTTGTATTCTTTCTCCATTCTTGTTGCCATTTCTTCTCTGCTTTTTTCTCTCTCACTATTCTTTATCTGTGCCCCTGTTTTCCAATTATGTTAGCCACATGCCTTGTTTTTCATAGCTGACATCATCAAGTAGTAAATCACAGTACTTTATAGATAAGTGCACCCTTGGAGATGCTAGAACTCCTGCACTTCAAGATTAGCCCTCAGGTGTTCCAGTTTTTTAAATATTAGGTAAATAAGTTGCTAACAGTAGTTCGAAGTCCAATTCGTGTCTCATCTGACCATGGATCAATGGTAAATGGATCAATCAGTCAAATCACTTAATGTCCCAGAGCCTCAAACTCTGTAAAATTGGTATAATACTTACACTACCTACCTCACAATGTTTTTGTGCAGAAAAACCTGTAAGACTTAAAACACTATGAACGTCTAAGCTGTTATTATTCATATAAAGAAAGTATTATTTGTCATTGGTGGAGAACTTCAGCTTTGTTGATAGCCCTTCTTGCATCTGCCCTCCCAGGAATCAAGCACTGAATGAATAACCACGATAACACTTCTGTTGAAACACAACAGTAAGAAAGTTAATTACGAGTTCTCCCTGCTCAAATCAGGAATCCATGAGAATATTCGTTTATTTTTTCCCAAGTCAATCAGAAACTAGCAAGTTCATTGTTAACAAACAAAACTTTTGGCAACGCATCAATAATGATTTACTCCAAGGCTGCTCTGTACCACTCCCTCCACCCCCACCCCACCTCCACAAAAAGAGATGATGCAATACAATGTGTTAAAACTGGGGAAGATTATTTTGATGATGTAGATGCTAAAACTATAAATGCTGGGCCTGCTATTAAAGTGCAGAAAAAAAAATAGTGAACTATTATCTAAATATTTGACTACTGAAAGTAAAGAAAATTAAATGATTGACCATAAAATTGTAAGGTTTTTTAGAAAGTCATACTGGAATAAAGAGCAAAAAGTTATCTGAATGTTGATGTCAAGAATTTTGCTTAATACTTTTGTTAAAAATTAATTCCATATACTTGATACAAATCTGATATATTTTGCTATGAATGTTTATTTTATTTTGATAAAATAACTTTATACTTGTGTACTATTCTAGTTTTAAAGAACTTACACATACATACTAAATTCCTACACAATGAAAATATTAATCTTTTAAAAATAAATATTTGTAAAAAGGAAGTCATGCTTGTATCATTGGAAAATGGCAGCTCTTTAAAAAAAAATCACAACAGAAGAGGAAACTACATAATGATGGTGTTTTTTTTCAAGTAAGTGGAAACCAGAGGAGCAATACAGCTAGCAAAGAATCCAGTAAATAGTCTTGCTTCCCACATTTATTAAGGTGAGCCTCCCCAGTAGTGAACATGTTAGAGTGGGAAGAGCTTTAAATTTGGAGTTGATCACTTTAGTAAAAAGTGAGCAGGCAAGTCATTGAACCTCCCTTGGCCTCAATTCCCTCATCTGTAAAATTGGGGGAGAAAGGTTAATGTTCCTCTTCAGCTGTAAATCTTTAAGAAGTTTCATTGTTTCTGTTGCCTGACTCCTAAGTTCAGTGTATTAGTTCCATAGTATTGTGTAACCAGATGGAGGCGTGCTGCACAGCTCTGATGAGCAGAGAAGGTAACGTGACCCAGCAGCCTGTCACCAGATTCAGGGACTAGAGACTTGACTATCATGATCAGTCTAAATAGCCTCTGTTCTTCCTCCCTCTTTCTCTCTTCTCTGCCCTGCTGCCACTTGCCATACTCTTTTCCTCTTTAACTCTCAGCTCTGTGTACTTTCTTCTTGAGGATTCCCCTGTTCTTCCTTCCTCATACATCAACTTTTTCAGCCTCTTTGCAATTCTTTTCTCATATATGCAAAGGCTTTACTTAATGTTTCTTCTTTTGCCTTTCAACCTATAATTGTCCAGCCTTGTTGTAAGGAATGTGTTTTGTAACGCCAACCAGGAAAGTGTCTAGAGAGATAGAAACAAGTATATATGTCTGCTGACTGGACAAAGTTGTTTTCTCAGACCAGATCTAAAACACATCAATTCATACCCACATCTTCACAAAGAATAGCAAACACTGATGGTTTTTAACTTTTGAACATAGTGATTTCAATTTAATTCCTTTATTATCAGCTAGTCATCAACTATTTATTAAGCACTTACTATATTCTAGGCATAAGGGCTAGGAATACCAAAAGAGGTGTAAACACTGCCCTTGCCCTCAGGGAGCACTCTCACCTGTAGCTCCAGGAAATTGTAGCATGTGCGGCAGCCACATCCCAGTAAAACCATTTTGACAAATAGGCCAAACCAGGATGAGAGTAAGCAACAGGCCTGAGACCCATCAGTGAGTTAGAGGGATATCTACCCCAAGCACCTGAAGACTTCCTCTGGTGGAATGGGCAGATAAGACAATTGTTCCAGCGGCCATGAAAGTGGTTGAAGTAGGTTCTATGGAGAACTTAGAGCTTTGTCAGACATTGAAGACGCCATCCTGGGCCATCACCAGTCACTTTTGTCTTGCCACTGGACTTCAATGACCGGAAGAGAGAGTGAAGCTGGTGACTTTGTGCAACTCTGTTTCACTTAAGCCCAGTTCACTAAAAAGTCTAGACATCAACCCATGATGTCATTGGTCCTCTTTGAAAATGAAGGATGAACAACAATAACAATTGGGGAGACAACATCTATATGTAGATGTATTGCATAGGGTCTCAGTCCATTCTCCCAACCCACAATTGAATTAACAGGTTGTGCCCCAGAATTCAGGTAGTTACTACTCTCCTCAGGGTTTTAGGGATAACTGCAATAGGCTTGGGGGGAGGGGAATTTCTTTTAACTGTTGCTCATAAGCCCCCATCTAGTCCCCAATAGCAATCACTTACCATCTCCCCAATATCTTGAGATATACTGAGAAAATAAATAACTGAAGTACGAAAAACCTCTGAAACTAGGAGTCTTCTCTCCTCCACCTCTTTGTCCTTAGAGAAAGTCAACAGTGTAGTGACTATCAGATGTTCCCTTTCACCTAATTGGCTTCTGGGTAGTGTATAGCCAAAGAACAAGTTGTCCCTTTGGTTACAGCACATGGTGTCTTGACTGGGTGCATCAAATTACTGCAGATCTAGCTCAAGCAGGTTCCTCCTCAAAGCTGGCTGCTCACTAGACTTAGCTGCTACAGCTACCAGCAGTGTGCAGTGGACACCAATTTCTGGACCTCTGCTATTCTCTTCCATCTTTTAGAAACCCACAATGTTGTAAACTGTCTGTTCCATCTCTAATATTCATTCATTAGCACTTAGACAAGAATACACACAACAGAGATAACAGCAGAAGTAGTACCATATGTTCATGACCACATGATAGCCAGGTGGAACAGTAGTTAACTGGGGCCATCAAACCACTGCTGTCATCCTCACCCAGAGATTTACACAACATTTCTTCTACATGGTATGATCAATAAAATCACGTTTTCAATTTGGTACTTGATTATGTACTGCTATTGGTACTTAAGAGTTTTCATTTGTATGTATTGTCTTCTCAACTAGATAATGTAGTCCTAGGTAGAGGACCGCACATCTTATATTTTTTTTCTACATTCTTAGAATTTGGCAGATGTTCATTAATTGGGACAAAATTATCTAGGAGGAAAAAATCCAGGTCATCCATCATTTTGTTGTTCAGTCATGTCTAACTCTACATGACTCCATCAATTTTGTCCATAGGGTTTTCTTGGCAAAGATACTGGAGTAGTTTGCCATTTCCCTCTCCCTTTTGTTCCCGTTTTAGATATGAGGAGCTGAGGCAAATAAGGGTTAAGTCACTTGCACAGGGTCACACTGCTAGTAAGTGTCTGAGGCTGGATTTGAACTCATGTCTTCCTGACTCCAGGCCCAGCACTCTATCCACTGTGCCACTTAGTCTGCTCCAGTCTGTCATACAGTGTATTTTTGATTAAATATAGCAACCCACGATTGTTTTCCTGAAGGCATCCTGAATTAATGAATAGCTCCTGAAGGCATCAGTATATTGCTGAGGCTTAAAAACTGAAGTGACTTACCCAAGATCACACTGGTTTTTAAGTTCAGAATTGAAATTTGAACTCAAATTATTTTATACCAAGTTCAGTGCATTTTCTACTATATCAAAAGGATAAATCATCAGCAGAACATTAAACTATGCAAGAAGACAGGAAAATTTTTAATAGAAATTTTGCATGCAAAATGACAAAGCTTTGAAACTTATTTCCTGAAAAATACGCTTTTTTTTTTTTAGAAAAGTTTATTTACCAGTAATTAGGTATCCCACCATCATATTTACAGTACATGGTAGAAAGCAAAAAATGATGGATGGAAAAAGTTTATATTAAATAACATACTAGTTTGAGTAAAAATGGAAAATAGTGATCTAATTTGTGTTTCTGTTCAAAACATTGTAACAAAAACTGTATTTTTGCTCCCTCATTTCTGTGTTGAGAAATAGGTTAGTCAAGAGAGGAAAAACATATTCTTAAGGTAATGTGTACTTGAATTCTTTTAATAAACTTTTTTTTTAATTTAAGCTTTTTTGTTTTGTTTTGTGGGGGTGCCAGCAGTTGAGAAGAAACTTCTTGACTTGCCTATCCTCTTGGAAGACTCCTCCTCGTTTCTTAAAATCTTCCCAGTCAGAAGCTTTGTATAACATATCAAACGGTGAGGTAACATTTGCTCCACTTCACACATTTACAGAAGAAGAAATGATGATTAAAAACATGGGTAAGTATTTGTTTTTAAACTTTCCATTATATGTTAATTTTATAATTAAACTTTGTACAACAATACTAGTAGTTATCTTAGGTGTTGTGGGCTGGTTTCTTAAATCTTTAAAACAAAAATTTAAAAAACTTTTTGGTTCAGAACTGAAATGAATTTGGTGGTCCTAGGCCTCCAGACAATAACATGCTATTATCAAGTTAGTTAGCAAAGGTTTATTGAGCTATGCATTCTAAAACCAGAGGGTTGTGCAGTTTTATGCTAGAACTCCAATTAGTTTATGTTTAAGAAATTGCAGTGTATTTAATAATCCATAGAACATACAATGTCAGAATCTCTGTTGGGGAAGTTTACCATTAGGTGCATTATTCTCTTCCTTGATTCTCTTTAATATGGTAATGTGTTTCTTATTTGCTCAACTATGCTGACATCCTTATTTTTTATCATACTGTGAAGTTTCAAATTATCATAGTAGGAATTTTCTCCCATTTCTACCACTTTGTATCATAATTTCTGTAAGTTAAAAGGAGACTGTATCAAGCGATCACCAGACATTCGTTAAGTATCTGCAATGTGCCTGGTACTGAGCAAGACTCTGGGATGCAGATACAAAAGTGACAGGCCCTGCTCTTGAGTTCTTGGGGGATGCAACATATTCACAGATAAGTTAATGTAGGATATGTGTAAAATAAATATACAGGCCTTAGGAGGAGGGAGAGGGGACATAACTGAAGGAACCTGGAAGGGGCTCATAAAGGGGGCAGCACATGAACTGAGCCTTGAAGGAGTCTGGGGACTCCACAAGGCAAGGGTGAAGAAGGAGAACTTTGCAAGAGTGGGAGACAGAAGCTGGAGATGGAATGCAGGATGCCCAGAACAATACGTAAGTTATTTTGACTGGAGAGTGGAGTGTATCCTCTCTACTCGTTAGGCTTAAATCAAATTGTGAATGGTATGTAAATGCCAAACAGAAGTCTATATTTTATCCAAAAGGCAATGGGGAACTATTGAATCTTCTTGTGCAGGAGAGCAAGATAGTCAGATCTCTGTTTTCAAACTATCAGTTTGTCAGCTATATAAAAGATGGATCAGAGAAACGAGAGACAGGGAGACCAATTAGGAGGCTATTTCAGTAGTCCAGGTAAGAGGTGGTGAGTGTCTGAACTAGAGGGGTTGTGGTGTGAAAAAACAGAAGAGGATGGATTTGAGAGCTATTGCAGTGGTTGAATCAGCAAGACTTGGCAACAAAGACATGAAGGGTAAATAAAAGTTAAGACCTGAACGTGATTCCTAGGTTATAAACTGGAAGATAACTGGAAGAATGGTGGTTTCCTTAACAGAGAAATTGGGAGGAAGGATGAGTTTGGGGAAAAATAAAGAGTTCCTTTTGGGTATGTTGAGTTTGAGATACCTATGATACATCCAGGTGGAGATGTCCAGTAGATACTTGGTGATGCAGAACTGTAGCTTGAGAAAGAAGAAGACTAGGTAAGTAGATTTGGGAATCATCCACATAGAGGTGAAAGCTGAACCCCCATGGGAACTGAAGAGATTGACTATTAAGAGACAAGTAGAAAGGGGCCAGGACAGAGTCCTGGGATACAACTGAATATAGATGATGGGACATGGATGATGATCTACAAAAGAAACCAGGAAGGGTTAATAACAGGTTAGAAGCTAACTACAACAGAGTAGTATCATGAAAACAAAAGAAAGGATAGAAAATGCAGGAAGAAGTGGCCAGCAGCATAAAATAGTTTCAAACATTTGGAGGTGGGGAATCCCCCTAGTATTTGATTCATCCAGATAATGCATTATAATATTTATTTTTTTTCTATTAATGGGATAATCTCTTAAGAGATGAGTAGATTTTCTTTTTTTCCTCCTTACAGTTAAAAAATTTGCAGAGAAACAAGTTGCTCCTTTCGTGACAGCAATGGATGAAAATTCACAAGTGGACAAGTCAGTAATAGAAGGATTATTTCAACAAGGGGTATGTGTATATACACACACATACAACACATACGTATATTTTTCATGTTTTTGTTCTGTTTCAAAGCTAAACTCATTCCACTGTGAAAACACATGCATATTTTTAAAATCAGGAAATTTAGCAATCATGTACTTAACATTATGTTCCTTAGCTAAAATTATTTTCATTCTCTTTAAGTCCAAGATCCTGCCTTATATTTTCCTACTCAAGAAAAACTTTAAAAGTCAGAATGATCTTGTGAGTAGAAATACTTCTGCACTATAAATATTTAACTGAAAGAGAAGGGATGTAATTTCTTTAGGTATTTTCTGAGGAGATTTTTAGACATTGGTGATTCTCTACTTACCTTAATAAAATAATGTAGAGACAGTTCTCACTTTATGTAAATTTGCAGTAAAACTCTTTTTTGCAGATGACAAAATGACATACTTGGAAAGTCCTAAAGATTCAACTAAAAAGTTAGTGGAAACAAGGGCAGGTAGGTGACACAGTGGATAGAGCACTGGCCCTGGAATCAGGACGACCTGAGCTCAAATCCAGCCTCAGACACTTGACAATTACTAGCTGTGTGACCCTAGGCAAGTTACTTAACCCCATTGCCTAGCCAAAAAAATTGGAAACAATAATTTTAGCAACATAACAGGATATAAAATAAACCCACATAAATCAACAGCATTTGTATATATCCCAACAAAACCATGCAAGAAGAGCTAGTAAGAGATCCCCCATTTAAAATAACTGTAGACTATATAAAATACTTGGAAGTATACCTTCCAAGGTATACTTGGAAAACAAACAAACCCAGGAACTACATGAGCATAATTATAAAACACTTTTTATACAAATAAAGTCAGGTTTCATTAGTTGGAGAAATATTAATTGTTCATGAGTAGGCAGAGTCATTATTATTAAAATGATAATTTTACTGCAACTAATCTTATTTATTCAATGCCATTCCAATTAAAGTACCAAAAAATTATTTTACTAAGCTAGAAAAAAAATAATAAAATTCATTTGGAAGAACTAAAGGTCAAGAATATCTAAGGAATTAATAAAAATGTGAAGGAAGGAGTTTTAGTGTTATCAGATCTTTACCATAAGGCAGTAATTATCAAAATTATCTGGTACTGGCTAAAAAAATAGAAAGGTAGAACAATGTCACAGAGTAGACATACAGTATACAGTAATAATGATTATAATAACCTTATATTTGACAAATGTGAAGATTTAAGTTTTTGGGACAAGAATTTATTATTTGGTAAATATTGTTGGAAAAGCTCGAAAGCAGTCTGGCAAAAATTGGGCATAGACCAATATTTACCAAGATAAGGTCAAAATGGATACATGACCCAGCTACAAAAGGACATATAAGAAAATTAGAAGAACATGGAACTTATTACCTGTTAGACATGGATAGGAGAATAATTTATGAATAAATGAGATAGAGAGCGTAATGGATGTAAAATGGATAATTTCAATTATATTAAAAAGATTTTATACAAATAAAACCAATGTAGCCAAGATTAAAAGGAAAACAGAAAAATTGGGAGAAAATTTTTATAGACAGTTTCTCAGTAAAGGTCTTATTTCTTAAATATACAGAGAACTTTGTCAAATTTATAAGAATACAAGTCATTCCCCAGTTAATAAATAGTCAAAGGATGTGAACAGGCAGTTTCTTGATGAAGAAATCAAAACAATTTTAGTCATGAAAAAAATGCTCTAAATCACTATTGATAAGAGAAATGCAAATTAACTTTGAGGTATCATCTCACATCTATCAGATAGGCTAAAATAGAAGGAGAAAGTGACAAATGTTGGAGGAGATATGGGGAAATTGGGACACTAATTCACTGTTGGTGGAACTGATACAACCATTTTGGAGAGCAATCTGGAATTGTGTCCAAAGAATTAATAAACTGCCTATACCCTTTGACCCAGGAATACCACTATTAGGTCTGTTTCCCAAGGTGATCAAGGGAAAAAGAAAAGAACCTATATGTTCTAAAATATTTATAGCAGCTCTCTTTGTGGTGGCAAAGAACTGGAAGTTGAGGGCATGTCTATCAATTGGGGAATGGCTAAACAAGTTGTAGTATATGGTTATGATGGAATACTACTATGCTTTAAGAAATGATAAGCTTGTTGATTTTAGAAAAACATGGAAAGACTTGCATGAAATAATGAACAGTGGAATGAGCAGAACCAAGAAAACATTGTACACAGGAACAGCAATATTGTTCCAAGAACAACTTTGAGTGACTAAGTCATTTTGAGTATTATAAATACACAAATCAACTACAGAGAACCAGGAAAAGAACTGAAAAATAGAAGTATGTATTATATGGTGTTACATATATATATACATATTTGTGTCTAATGGTAACCTCTAGAGCAGGGTGGGGAGTGAGAGAGAAAAAAAACAAAAATGCACAGAGAACAAAAGAAAACTTACAAGTAAGCATAGAAAGCAGGATAGTTTAAAAAAATGTGTAGTAGTTATTACATATTTTTTCAAAAAAGGTAAACAGTGTGAAATGGAGATTTATGGTTTTATATCAAATCCTCTTTTCATGTTGTGATGTGTACGTGGAAACTTTTATCTTTTTGTGTTGAAATGCAAAATGAATAAAAATTTTTAAAAATAAAACATCGGGCTCATTCCCATTTTAGTACTTCAACGACTTGCTCCAGGCACTCTTCTGCAGTTTATTACATATATTGCACTAGAGATTGAGGACTAGAATGAGGCTATGCAGAAAAATAAGTTGAAATGTACCCTGTTTTGTAATCATCATGGTGTTCATTTGTAATTTACTTCATGGCACGATGAAAAGAGCACTTGCTTTTGAGTCAGAGATCGAGGTTGAGATTCTGGCTCAACTATTTAATAGCTGTAGAGTCTCGCAAAGTCACTTTGCCTTTGTGGGCCAGAGTCTCATATCTGTAATGAAGGAATTAGCCTTGATCCAGGGACATCCAAGTTTTTCAGTTGTATTTGACATGATCCAAAATTAATAATGCAAACTTAGTGGATTTGGTTATTAATTACATACAGTTTCAATACAATTCAGTTATGCGATTGCTAACATGGTATGTGACAGCCGTCAGTTATCACAACATTAGTGAAAGGTCAAGGGATTAGTACATATTGGCCTACTTAATTATGTGTGCTAGCTAAGTAGACTGATCCATAAAGTTCCATCGATTTCTAAATCCTGTGAACTCTAAATCTTCAGATACTTGAAAATAATGATAAATATGTAAAATTCAATATTATTAGTCACTTCCAGTAGTCAAATACCCTACTTCATAGGGTTTTTATGAGGAAAGCATTTTGTAAACAATAAAACACTACAGAAATGTGCACTGTAATATGTGAGACTTGAAGTTGATGAACATTTCAGTCATGTGTCTTTTGATCAAAGTTGTGAATCCAGTACTCCCAGTATAAGCTAAGCTATAAAGAAAATATTTTCTTTGTGAGGATGCACCCTGGCACAGTGGAAAGAATGATGTCTTAGGAATAAGAAGGCCTGGGTTCAGATCTCACCGCTGATGCTTACTACTTCTTTTTTTTGTTTGTTTGTTTTTTGTTTTAGGCTATTGGGCTTAAGTGACTTGCCCAGGGTCCCATAGCTAGTGTCAAGTATTTGGTCTGAGGCTGGATTTGAACTCAGGTCCTGCTAACTTCAGGGCCGATGCTCTATCCACTGTACCACCTAGCTGCCCCTGATGCTTACTACCTTAATGACCTTGATGTGTCTTGCCTTTGGACTTCAACTTTCTCATATTTAAAATGAAGGCGTTCTACTAGATAACCTAATTACTAAGGTTTATGATCCTTAGACCATGGTTAGGTCTGATAGAAATACAAGAGCATGCAAAAGATCTAGGATTTCATCATTTTAAGGAGCTTCTCATGCAGAAGGTCTTTCCATCTAGGAAGATCCTTTCCCTTCTGTGGCTTAATATATGAATCCTTGGAGTTCCCTCAGGCACATAGTAGTTGAATGACTTGCTCGTGGTCATATAGCTATTATATGTTAGGGAAGAAATTTAAGCCTGGCTCTTCCTTAACTGTCAGCCCAACACTATCTACTATATCTTTGCAGTATCATGTAGGTGATAGAGAAATGAGTAAATTGGAAATAGAATTTACTAACTTGATACCTTCAGTTTATGATCATGCTGGTCTCTTTGGGGAATACTGAAATAATGAGACAAATGTGAGGCTTTTTCTTCCAAATAAATTCATTCAGGAAAGGATTTTTGTTTATTGTGATGCCTTAAAATTTTGATGCTGGTCATTTTCCTGTAGAAGCAAAGCATCTCAAATTTATTTATGATTTATTTTTAGCTGCCAATTTTCCAAAGTGACAACTACAGCTTAATCAGAAATGACTTTTAGTATGCTAATTACAACACTTCTTTCTACGTGTTAGGCTTCAATTCTTTTAAAACATTTTTGATATTTGCTAAACATCTTGATACCTGGTGGAGAGAAAAGGAAGAACAATCTACTTATATTTAAAAATTGCTGGCATGCTAAGAAGAACAAAGGTAATTCCTTATTTGTCAGATTAGCTTCTAGAGTTGTATAGTAAATCCCCTTTATGAGACTAAGACAGTGGAAAATGAGGAATTTTGTAAGTGCAATGAAAGTTTCATTCAGTTTACCAAACACATTTACTAAACATTCTAGCCCATGCAAAGGAGCGGAGTATCCCAGACAGACAGCCTCTAAGTTGCCCCTACATTGTTGGGTCATCTGATGACTTGATTGGCAATGGTCCAGTATACAACTCTGCATAGCATATTACACTGAGCAGTAAACAACCTGGACCCTACAAAGTCATACTCGTTTTGACTGTCCAGTTGCCGTCTTAGGAGAATCAAACTGTTGAAGTGGAAGAGTGGAGCTAGCAAAGATTTTTAAAAAGTAAGCTAGGTACAAAGATGCAGATAATTCTCCCTAAAGAGAAATTCACTCCATGTAGTTTCAATTCTATCCAGTAAGGGAACCTGTTGATTAAAAAAATATTGAGCGTCTTCATCAGAATTAAAAATATTTCAACAGACAAGGTAATCCAATTATAACTTATTACACTGTCACCTGAATATATTTTAAGGTATTATTCTGCACTCTTATTTTCTTATGAATACATTTTCACTTCTCTTTTGGTTTTCTGAACCACGCCAAGAAATAGAGTGTAATCAGAGTTTATTATGTCATTGCATCCTCTTAAAAGAGACATTTCTTAACTGATATGGAGGCTTTTGTACTTTTTGTTATGCAAAACAGTGTGGAGTGAAAATGCATCATGATGTATTGGTATAAACTCTAGAATATAAATACATGAATGGTTAAAATTTACTTCTAAAGTTTATTCCTTTTGTAAAATATTCCCTCACATCTTAAGCTATTAATTTATTTTTCTTTCTTCTCCAGTTGATGAGTATTGAAACTGAAACAGAGTATGGAGGGACAGGAGCTTCATCTTTTTCCTCTATCCTAGCAATAGAGGAATTAGCAAAGGTTGATGCATCTGTATCTCTTTTATGTGACATCCAGAATACATTAATCAATAAATTGATTAGAAAGTTCGGGACAGAAGAACAAAAGGCAACCTACTTGACCAAACTGGCTAAAGACACAGTGAGTTAAGACAATTTTTCAAATTAACTAAGCTTTTTCGAAAATTAAGAATATTTCCATTTTTCAAAATGAACAAATACTAAAACATGTGCCTTATATGTGAAGGATTTTTAAAAAAACTAATCAAGCTAATTTTTAATCTTAAATATTTTCTTGAGATTAAACAATTTAATTTTCTGTTTTCTATATAAATACCATTTCTAGTTAAAGAATTAACTAAAGAACCTTTCTGAATACAGCAAGTTCTCGCTTAATGTAAGTGGACCATTCCACAGAACTCCCCTCCTGGGGCTACACCGGCACTTCCACCTCCATGGCTCTACAGCCCCTCGAGCCAGAGAGGCTTCAGTGTTCAGTGCCTGGGGCCCTGCAGTCTGAGCTACTTGAGTGCCAGGAGGAGAGGAGTCCTGGCTCAGGGCTGCGTCAGCTTTGCCTGAAGCTGCCCCCTCCAGCTGGGAGCCAGAGCCAGGGCTTGTGCAGGCTCCTGCTGCCCTGTCCTTTTCTGCATGATGTGAATTTACATAAAACAAGAAGTGTCTGTGTTGAAAAAGATGATGTTCATTAAGTTACTTTAAATCTTCCGGGGCAGAGCCAAGATGACAGAACAGAGAATGTATTCAGCCGAGCTCTCCCAACATTCCCCTCCAAACACCTTTAAAACAACTCCTCAAACCAGATTCTGGAGCAGCAGCACCAACAAACGTTCAGAGTGAGACATTCTTCCAGCCAAACACAATTTAGGAGGTTGGGAGGAGAGATCTGCGACACAGAAATAGAGGCTGATTCAGAGTTCATGTGGATAAGACACCAATGATAGGACTAGGTGGTAGTGATGAAAAGCAGCAGCAGCTTCAAGAGATAGTGATGGGACTTGGGCAACTGGTCATATAAAGATTATAGGGGGCCCCTCACTAGCACTGAACACAGGATGGGATGCTCTTCGGAAAATCCATTACCTCTACCCGCTTTTGGATCACTGTTCAAAAGCAGAGAAGAGCATTTGTGGTCAAGAAGGAGCAGGGGTCCTGAAGAACCCTTACCCTACCTGGGTAAGGACCAGAGTATAGACCAGGAGAGGAGTGACCACACCTCTCCCCAGATCACACCACCGTGGAAGCCCTGCAAACTTCCACACCCCCAGAACTAGCTCCGACATATGCTCCATACTAGCAGTATGGAAAAATCCTGAAGATTGGGACGACAGCACCCCTCCCTTCCCACCCCACACCAGGAACAGAACCCAACTGTAATATAAAGTTCAAAATAAATAGGGTGGGAAAATGAACAAGCCACAAAAAAAAATCTGACTGCAAAAAGCTACTATGGTGACAGGGAAGATCAATGCGCAAACTCAGAAGACAAGTCAAAACAGTTCCAAGCAGATCTCAAGGGGAAATGTGAATTGGAAACAAGCCCAAAAAGAATTCCTAGAAATGCTAAAAATTACTTTTATAATCAAATAAGAATAGTGGAGGTAAAATTGGGTAAAGAGATGAGAGTGAAGGAAGAAAATTATGGAAACACAAAAGCTTATCTAAAGAGGTACAAAAAATACTGAAGAAAATGGCACTTTAAAAAGCAGAATTGATCAAATGGAAAAACGGGGACAAAAGTTCACTGAAGAAAAGAATTCCTTAAAAGTTAGAATTGGGCATGTGGAAGCCAGTGATTCCATGAGACATCTAAAAACAATAATAAAGTCAAAATAGTGAAAAAAGTAGAAGAAAGTGTGAAATACCTTATTAGGAAAAAAATAACTGACCTGGAAAATAGATTAAGAAGAAATAATTTAAGAATTGTTGGACCACTTGAAAGCCATGAACAAAGAGAGAGCCTGGAAAACATATTTCAAGAAATTATCAAGGAAAACTGCCTTGATATCCTAAAATTAGAGGGTAAAATAAAAATTGGAAGAATCCACCAATCACCACCTGAAAGAGATCCCAAAATGAAAACTCCCAAGAATATTATAACCAAATTCCAGAGCTCCCAGATAAAAAGGAAATACTTGAAGCGCTCATAAACCATTTAAATACTTGGAGCCACAGTCAGGATCACACAAGATTTAACAACTGCCACATTGAAGGAGTAAGTGGGTTGGAATATGATAATCCAGAAAGCAAAAAAGCGGGGATTACAGCCAAGCATAACCTACCCAGCAAAACTAAATATAATCCTTCAAAGAAAAAATAGATATTTAATGAAGTAGAGGACTATCAAGTATTCCTGATGAAAAGACCAGAGCTGAATAGGAAATTTGACTTTCAAATACAAGACTCAAGAAAAGCATAAAAAGAGAAACATGAAAGAGAAATCATAAAAGACTCAGTTAAACTGTTTACTTTTCTGTCTGATGATCGAAGATGATAAATGTTACTCCTAAGAACCTTATCATTATTAGGACAGTTAGAAGGATTCTACATAGAGGGTATAGGAGTGAGTTGATCATGTTGGGATGATTTTTTTTAATGGACAGATGAGAAAGATGGATACTGGGAGAAAGCATAAAGGAGAGGAAGAATGGGGGAAATTATTTCATATAAAAGAAGTGTTCAGGGAAAAGCTTTTACAATAAAAGGGAAAATGGTAGGGAGGCCAGTAACACTTGAACCTCACTTATCTAAATTGGTTCAAAGGGATCATACATACGTCCGTACAAATATATACATACATATATGTATTTACAAGCACACAATTTGTTATAGAAATCTTATCTTAACCCAATGGGAAAGTAGGAGGGGAAGAGGAGAAGGAGGGGGGAGTGGTGATAAAAGTGTGGATAAAGGAAGACACTGGTCAGAAGCAAATCAGACTTTAGAAGAGGAACTGGATAAAAAGAGAAAATAAACAAGAAAATGGGATGGAGGGAAATGCACAGTTAGTAATTGTAATTATGAAAGCAACTGGTTTCAACTCACCCATAATGCAGAAGTAGATAGCATAATTGATTAGAAACCAGGATCCAACAATATGTTGTGTACAAGAAACACAACTGAAACAGAAACACAAAATTGAAACAAGAGACTGGAGCAGAATCTATTATCACTCTTTGATATACTTAGAGAACCCTAGAGAATCAACTAAAAAAACTAGTTGAAATAATTAACAACTTTTTAACAAAGTTACAGGACATAAAATGAACCCACATAAATCATCAGCCTTTCTATGTGCTACCAACAAAATCCAGCAGCAAGAGATAGAAAAATTCCATTTAAAATAACTAAAAATTATTGGGAAAACTGGAAAGCAGTATGGCAGAAATTGGCCATAGACTAATATCTTAGACCATTTACCAAGATAAGGTCAAAATGGATACATGACCTAGATATAAAAAGAGATACTACAAGAAAATTTGCAGAACATGGAACATACTATTTATTAGATTTATGGATAGGGGAACAATTTATGAATAAACAAGGGATAGAGAATAGAATGAAGCATAAAATGGATAATTTTGATTACATTAAATTAAAAATGAGCAAATGAAACAAATGTATCCAAGATCAGAAAGCAGAAAATTGGGGAAAAGATTTTAATGGATAGTTTTCTCAGACAAAGGTCTCATATTAAATACATAAAGAACTTTGTCAAATCTATAGGAATATGAGTCATTCCCCAATCGATAGTGAAAGGATATGAACAGGCAGTTTTCCAGTGAAGAAATCAAAGCAATTTACAGTCATATAAAAATTTTCTATATCATTATTGATTAGGGAAATGCAAATTAAAACAACCTTGAGATATTTTACACCTATCAGATTGGCTAAAATGATTGAAGGGGAAAATAACAAATGTTGGAGGGAATGTAGAATAATCGGGACACTAATTCATTGTTGTTGGAATCGTGAACTGATCTAACCATTTTGGAAAGCAGCCTGGAATGATGCCCAAAGAGTTATTAAGCTGCTATACCTTTGACCCAGCAATATCACTATTAGGTCTGTTTCCAAAGATGATCAGGGAAAAAAGGAGAAGAACCTAGAGGTTTTAAAATATTTTTAACAGCTCTCTTTGTGGTGTCAAAGAGCTGGAAATTAGAATGTCTATCAATTGAGGAATGGCTGAACAGGTTTTGGTATATGATTGTGATGGAATATTACTATGCTATAAGAAGTGATGAACTTGATTATAGAAAAACAGACTTGCATGAAATAATGAAAAGTGCAATGAGCAGAACCAGGAGAATATTGTATAGAGTAACAGCAGTATTAAGAACAATTTTGAGTGACTGAGTCATTCTTACTATTATAAATACACAGATTAACTACAAAGGACCTATGAAGGAAGATGCTATATGCATCCAGAGAAAGGACTGATAAATAGAAGTAGGTATACAATGATTTTACATATATATGTGTATGTGTGTGTATGTATGCACACACACATATTTATATCTAATGGTAGTCATCTCTAGGGTGGGGAAAGGGAAGAAAAAAATAAATTTACATAATAACTTTATTATATATTTAAAAGGAATAGCAAGTTAGACATGATAGATTTCCAATTTAATGTGTAATCATCTGTTTTATTATACTATGTTTTGGAAATGCTTGTTTTATTCCATAAATTAAAAATAAAATAATTTTTAAAAGGAATGTAAAATAAATAAAGGAGTTGGGCTAAGAAAAAATAAATTAACAGACAACATAAAATACTTAGGTGTCTACTTGCTAAGACAAACCCAGGGACTACATAAACACAATTACAAAACGTTTTCCACAAGAATAACAACAAATCTAAACAGTTGGAGAACTACTAATTGCTCATGGTTAGGCTGAGCGAATATAATAAAAATGATGATTCTTCCTAAGTAAATTTATTTATTCAGTGCCATACCAATCAAACTTACAGAAAATTATTTTATAGAGCTAGGAGAAAATAATAATCAAATTCATCTGGAAAGAAAAAAGTCAAGAATATTAAGGGAATCAATGAAAAAATATGAAAGAAGGTGACTCAGCAGTACCTGATTTCAAACTATATTACAAAGTAGTAATCATTAAAACAATATGGTACTACCAAAGAAATAGAATGGTGGGTCAGTGGAATTTTCAGGTACATAATACATAATGAGGTACATAATACTTCTCCAGCACCTTTAGATGACTCACAATTAATTCATCAGGAACCATAGTCCCTGATAGTATTCTATAACTTGCACCCATACAGAATTGCTAGAAAAATCTTGACATTAAAAAAATGGCCTTGATTTTAACGAGAAATTTGGGTTAAGAGTATTATCCAATTTCCCCAAAGGAATCCACCCCACTGTCGTTCAATTCTGGGCTCAGGTCATCATCCATCTGTAGTGCCTGTCCCAAGATACAGGTACTTGAGGTCCAGCTTTATGGGTTGCCCATCCATTTGCATATCTTTGTCTAGGCAATTGGCATTCACTGTCCAGTTGTTTTTCTGTGTGGTCAGTTAGGCCAATTTATTTTGTGTGATTATGGATATTGCTAAGGAGGCACTGCCTTGTTTTGGAGATTTTTGTAATCAATTCAGTGTTATCTGTAAGCAAAAGCATCAGAAGACCATATTGCTTGTCCTTCATCTTTAAAGAGGACCAGTGACATCATGGGGTGATATCTTAACTTTTGGGTGAACTGAATTTAAGTGAGGCAGAGTTGCACAAAGTCGTCAGCCTCACTCTGTCTTCCAGAGTCATCAAAGTCCAGTGGCAAGACAAAAATCAAGATGACTGTCAACGACCAGGAATGCAGTGGATGACCTAGGGATCTTTAATGTCTGACCACACTCAAACTGATCCACAGCGTCTGCTTCAGCCACTTTCGTGGCCATTGGAACAAATTATTCTCATCTGGCCATTCTACCAAGGGAAGTTTTTACATGCTTGGGGTAGACATCTCCCTAACTCACTGATGGGTTTGAGGCCTGTCGGTTACCCTTAACCCAGTTTAGCTTATTTGCCAAAACAGTTTTGCCAGGATGTGGCCGCTGGGCCTGCTACAGTTACTTGGAGCCACAGGTGAGAGTTCGGTGGCAGATGGACACCAATATTGATGAGCAAGCCTTCACACCAGAAGTGCTCGTTCTCCTTGGACACACCATATTGAAGACCATGATCTCTATAGGGAAAAACCCTCTTTGATCCATTCTCTGCACTGGATATTGGCTGGTGGCAAGCACCTTTGGCAAATGTAACATCTTCCTGTTTTGTGCCTCACTGGATATTAATAATTAATATAATTGAACAAAGTTACCTTTCATTATATCTTTAAGAAATCTTGAACAGTTTTGACATGCAAAGGGGACTTTGAAAAAGAACCTTTGAGGCAGCATTTTTCTTTAGCAAATTAAATTATTTTTGTAGTTAATAATCTATTGGGATTTTGTAATCTCTCTACCTTTTAGTCAGTTGTGGAACTCTAAAGATTTGCTCTCCTCCAGATTATTGTTTGTAAAAAGCCTGCCTGTACCTTTCCATGTCTTGATCAAAGAAGCCCTCAATGCTCATGTATATTATTCTCAAAGATTTTTCTAGAGCTGTAAGAAAGCAAGCATATGGGTCAGTAGTTAATGTTTTCTTGTTCACTTTTTATTTTCAGTACTTTGCTGGCTGTGTGGTTTCTTTGGCCACCTTGTTATGACAATTGATTTACATTGGATAAACTTACTTGGAAAGTGATGATCATCTGTGTCAAGTCTGTCTAATTATTCATTTCTATTTTTGTCATTAACAACTTGTTTGAATAAGTTAAATGATAGTTTCCTCAATTGCTTATCATGTCTTGGCTATTTTATATTTTTCTGCTTTGGTATTATAATCTGCTTTGATCTTTTTCTGCTTTTCTGCTTTGCTTTTTTGTTCTAAAAATTGAATAGTCTGACTATAAGAAACAACTGATTCAGTAATGAATTCCACATCAGTAACCCAGTGTTTCTGTGTTAAAATAAAAAAAAAATCAATTACATTTCTTTGACATTCACATTGTGATCCTGTTCACATAGTTCAGTACCTCTCAGCTCCCTTTTTGTGGAATTTATTCATGTTACCTATGTATGAGGCTTCTGTGTATAGTCTTCAAGCCTGTGACCTATTATTTCTTAACATTCTGAACTATGTTTTTCAACATATTTTCACTATTCTCCTCTATTCCCACTTCTGCATAGAAGTCTCCAAATATTAAAGTATATGTTGATTTAGTTTGAATATATATTAAAAATCAAAATCATTATATTTTTAGTCAAAACTTTTTTCCAGTGCTATTAGGTAGTAACTTCTAATGCAAATTCTTGATCCATTTTTTGTAATAACTATAGTTATTTTGACTTGAAATTCAACTATTTCTTGTTCCTGCTAAAGTTCTCATGGTATTTATTGTGGTAAAGTGTGAAAAATAATTATCAGAAATAATAACATTGTTTTTTAAAATAATTTCTGCATACTTTTAAAAATGACTAAAATATGGTTTTCCAAACTTCTCTTATAAATATAAACTTCTCATAAATTTGTATAAAAACATAAATACACTTAGAATCTGAATCTCTGTTTTCTTGAATACGTAGATAGGAAGTTTTTGCCTTTCTGAGGCAGTGGCTGGCAGTGATGCATTTGCTTTAAAGACTAAAGCTGAGAAGAAGGGAGACTATTATATTATCAGTGGGTCCAAGATGTGGATTAGCAATGCAGATTATGCAGGAGTTTTTCTGGTGATGGCAAATGCTAATCTTAATATGGTAAGTTTAAAAATGAAAATTCTTTCTTCCTTTTTTTATTTATTTTTTTTCCATTGAAACTCTGTGGCATTTGTATGTTTTATTTTTAAATAGAGAGGCAGAATCTAGAACTGGAAATTACCTTAGAGGTCATGAAATCCATTTTTTTTTCCTTCACTGACCTTTATTACATTTTTTGGTATTAAATTCACATGTTTTTGATATATTAACATTTTTCATCATTGAAATCACATTTTAAGCAAAATGAATATTAAGCATACTTTTGCCTTAATAGTATTTTATTTTTTCCAATTAAATATAAATATAGTTTTCAACATTAATTTTTATAAAATTTTGAGTTCCATGTTTTTGTCCCTCCTTCCCTTCTTCCACCCTCCCCAAGACAGCAAGCAATCTGATATAGGTTATACATGTACAATCATGTTAGACACATTTCCACATTAGGTTGTGAAAGAAGAATCAGAACAAAAGGGAAAAGCCATGAGAAAGAAGAAACAAAAAAAAAAGTGAAAATAGTATGCTTCAATCAGCATTCAGACTCCATAGTTCTTTCTCTGAATGTGGTTAGCATTTTCCATCATGAGTCCTTTGGAATTGTCTTGGATCATTGTATTGCTGAGAAAAGCTAAGTCCATAATAGCTGATCATCGCACAGTGTTGCTGTTGCTGTGCATAGTGTTCACCTGGATTTGCTCATTCACTCAGCATCAGTTCATGTAAGTCTTTCCAGACTTTTCTGAAGTCCACCTGCTCATCATTTCTTATGAAACAATAGTATTCTATTACATTCACATACCACAGTGTGTTCAGCCATTCCCTAGTTGATGGGTTCCCTACAATTTTCAGTTCTTGGCCATCACAAAAAGAGCTGCCATCAATATTTTGTACATGTGGGTCCTTTCCCTTTTCTATGATCTCTTTATTGCTGGATATGCACAGTTTTATAGCCCTTTGGGCATAGTTCCAAATTGCTCTCCAGAATGGTTGGATCAGTTCACAACTCCACCAACAATGCATTAGTGTTCCAATTTTCCCACATCTCCAACATTTGTAATTTTTTTCTGTCATATTAGCCAATCTGATTGGTGTGAGGTAGTACCTTATAGGTGTTTTAATTTGCATTTCTCTAATCAATAGTGATTTAGAACATTTTTTCATATGATCATAGATAACTTTAATTTTTTCCCCTGAAAACTGCCTGTTCATATCCTTTGACCATTTATCAGTTGGGTAATGCAAGTCCAGTCTTTATACAAATAAAAAAACTGAGGCTCATAGAGGTTGAATGGCTTGTTCATGGTGACATAGGTTGGTTGGTTGTTCTTCATGTTCGAAAAGGACCAAAATGTTGTAACTATGTTGGGGTCAAGGTATGGTGTGTCCAACTATGGCTGATGAGATCGATACAAGCTCAGAAGGCTCCACCACAGGTCAGGCACAAATAATTCACATGAACATTTGGAGTGGAGATGTCTCTAGCATAAGTAACATAGGTAGTAAGTAGGAGAACCAGGATTTGAACCAATGACTCCAAATCTAGTGTTCTTTCCACTATTACAGGTTGAATAGTCTGTTTTAAGTCCTGGCTCTGTGAACTGTTCTGTGTTTGGCAAAGGAGCTTTAGTTTTCTCACCACTGAAGTGGTTTTAGGAGTACCTGGCATCTAGGTTTATGAGGATTAGATGAATGAACAAATGAAAAAGCATTTATTAAATGCTTACTGTGTGCTAAGCACCGAGATAAGTGCTGGTTACACATGCAGAAGTTAAGACTGTCTCTTGACCAAAGGAGCTTACATTCTAATTAAGAAAACACATATAGGGGAATGGTCTTCAGGGAGGTGTATTCTTATTTGGGAAGTTAGAAATATGATGAGACAGACAAGGGGGAAATAGCATTATCCAGGAGTAAAGTAAAACGTAGCTGGAGCTGTTCTTGCATGTCATGGACACCTGAAGCAATCACCAGGCAGAAGTCACTCCCCTGGGTTCCCAGGGATGAAAAGGTTAAGTCTTCTAGATCTTGGTTTCTGGTCTAGGCAGCGTAAGATGGCCTGGAAGTAAAGTGAAGTGTGGCTGGAGCCAGTCCCAGACAGAGTAGGTAATTAAGGCAGATAATCCATCAGCCATCACTCTCCAAGGTGGTAAGACATCACATCTCAGTAGTTGGGACTTTGGCGTGAGAGAACTAGATTTAGAATCCAAATGAGCCACTTTCCCACTTACTCAAGGTCTTAGTTTCCTCTTCTGTAAAATGATGATATTTGGACTAGGTGCATCTCAGCGACCTTTCAGCTTGGAATATTATCATCCTAGGTATCTTGCCACCCGTCAGCAAGGAAGTTGAGATGAGTGACACATGCATTTCTCTTCCACTTCTGAGAGTCCATTTTCTATTTAGTGGAAAGATGCTTGCCAGTCTCATTTCAGGAAACCTGGAGCAGAAATAACCCTGAACTTGGAATTGAGAGGCCCAGGTGCAAATTTCTGTTCTGACCCTTATCAGCTATGAAAACCACAAGATAGTCATAACTTTGCTGAGCATAATCTAATACTTTGTGTATCCTCCTCAAAAGTTTGTGAGGAAGGTGCTTTATGAATTCTAAGGCTTATTGGAGATAAATAGAGATTGTTACTACTATCTCCTAGAAATGTAGGTGGAGCCAAACTTCACAGCCACAATACATGTCATTGACTTCCGTGGGGAAATTGCATGGTCAGGTTTTGCCTTCTTTGAGTGCCAGCATCCTTCCCTCAGCCTTGTGTGCCCACCAGCAGGAAGAAGCCAGAGGAGAATTTGGGGTTCAGTCCCCCAAGCCATTTCAGCTTGTTGACTATGCTAGGCCTCATAAAACATCCTGGCATCTTGTCCAAAAGCTTTTCCTTCGCTGTTCCCTCCTATTTTATTGATGCTCTTGGATGCTGATGAGCTCAGGGTAGCCCACTGAAGAGCTTCAGAAACCTCCTTGATAAGCCATCAGCCTTGTAAAAAGTTGCTATTTCCTAGATACATCGCTTGGCCCCTTCTGCACCTCAAGGACCCCCCATTTGACCTCCACACACTTTTCAGCTCCTCCTGTCCTTTTGGCACCCATTTCATAAACATTTAACAAGTCCCCACTGTATACTGAGCCTTGTGTTTGATACAGGAGACGGAGTCTGGTAAAACGTAGTCCACAGAGGGAGAAGATGCACGCACATAACCATGATGCACAATGTGACATGATCAGTGATTTCGAGAGTCATAAAATAAATGCCATTTGAGGTCAGTTCCAGTCTTACAAGGAAAATGCTATCAAAGAAGGATAGAGGCAGTTGAGTATCGCAGCCCAGAAAGAACTGTACTAGAAGTCAGAAGTCCTAAATTCAAATTCAGACTATTTTTTAGCCTTGGGAATTAGAGACAGGTCATGTCACTTCTCTCAGCCTTACTTTATGTGAGCTATGTAGCAAACTATTTATATGCATTTTTTAAAATTCAGTCACATTTATATTGCTGACATGAGAATTTATTGTATGTAAATTTATGCCCTATACCTTCCCAGGATTAATCTCATAAAATCCATATTATTTAAAGCAGACTATTTAAAATAGCATTTATTTAAGGGATATTTAAGTTAACCTTTGACATGTAAGAAACAAATATTGTGGAAGCAGATAAAAGGTATAACATATACTTTCGTTTGAAAATTAAGGTTTAAGAAACTGTTTAGCTTATTTTTCATTAGATTTCATCTTTCAACTAATAGTCACTTCTATGTAGAATGTTGTGTTAGTTGCAGTAAAAGCTTGTGAATTTTTTTAACCTTTGACTTGTGCAATTTAACAAATTAATTAAATGAAATTTGCAAAACTTTAAAATACTTAGTATACTTAGCAAATAGATTAAAACAGTATAATAAAAGGACTAGTACACTGGGAGAAGGAGAAAGGGAGAGGTAAAATGGGGAAAATTAGCTAACTTAAAAGAGAAGTAAAAGAGCTTTTACAGTGAAGAGAAAGATGGGGGAGTTGAGGTTGGGAACAGTGCTTGAACTTTACTGTCATCAGAATTGACCTAAAGAGGGAATAACATACACACTCAGTTGGGTGTAGAAATCTATCTTACCCTACAGGAAAGCTGGAGGGGGAACAGAAGAAAAGAAGGGAGCAGAGTACTGATAGAATGGAGAGCAGATTGGGGGAGGCAGTAGTCCAAAGCAAAACTCTTTTAAGGATGGTCAGGGGGAAAGGAGAGAAAGTAGGATAAATGGGGGGAAATAGGATGGAGGGAAATATACAGTCATAACTGAAAAAATTTTACAGCAAGTTTTTTCTGCTAAAGGTGTCATTTCTCAAATATATAGAGAACTGAGTCAAATTTGCAAAAATGAGAGCCATCCCACAAATGATCGATATTCAAAGGATATGAATAGGCAGTTTTCAGACAACATTATCAAGCTGTCTGTAGTCGTACAAAAAAATGCTGTAAGTCACTGTTGATTAGAGAAATACACATTAAAACAACTTGAGGTACCATTCCCATCTATTAATATGACAGAAAAGGAAATTGACAAATGTTGGAGGAGATGTGGGAAAACCGGAACACTAATGTATTGTTGGTAGAGTTGTGAACTGATTCAGTCATTCTGGAGGGCAATTTGGAACTATGCCCAAAGGGCTATAAAACCATACATACCATTTGATCCAGCAATGCCACTACTAGGTCTATATCCCATAAACATTAAAAAAAAAAAGGACCTATATGTACAAAAATATTTATGACCACTATTTTAGTCATGGCAAAGAATCGAAAGTTGAAGGGATATCCATTAATTGAGGAATGACTGAAGAAATTGGAGTATATGATTGTGATGGAATACTGTTGTGCTATAAGAAATGATGAGCAGGATGCTCTCAGAAAAATCTGGAAAGAGTTACATTAACTGATGAAAAGAAAATGAGCAAAACGGGTATGATAATCAACTGTGAATGACTTAGCTATTCTTAGCAGTACAATGATCCAAGACAATTCCAAAGGACTTATGATGAAAAATGCTGTCCATCTCCAGAAAAAGAACTGATTAAGTCTGAATGCAAATTGAAGCATACTTTTTTTAAACTTTACTTTTCTTCGTTTTTTTTGTTTGTGTTTTCTCTCTCAACATGACTAATATGAAATGTGTTTTGCATAACTGCAAATGTATAAGCTATGTCAAGTTGCTTGCCTTCTCAGTGAGGGCAGAGAGGAGAGCTGGTGGGAGAGAATTTGGAACTCAAAATTTTAAAAATCGAACAACAAAAATTGTTTTTACATGTAATTGGGGAAAACGAAATATTCAATATATTTTTAAAAAGACATTTAAAAAAATGAGGTAAGTGATGGCAGTCATTCTCTCATCATGATAGTGAAATTAAAGTTTGAAGTCTGTTAATGTTTACTATAGAATAAGTTTTTTGTTTCTTTTTTGCCTTTAAGTCTTTGGAGATAAAACTTTTAAGAAACCCAAGGTGCTAATGGTGCTTTTTAAATCTGCTTTCCTAGGGTTATAAAGGAATTACATGTTTCATAATAGATCGTGATACAGAAGGACTTCAAATAGGGAAGAAAGAAAACAAATTAGGACTCAGAGCATCTTCTACCAATTCATTGATGTTTGATAATGTTAAGGTGGGTGTGACCCAATTTTCCATAAAACCATAGTATGAAAATAGGCTTTGGTTAGACTTGATGTAAGGAATAATGAAAAAGAGTGGCTTAAGTGGTGAGATTTTATTATGTCAAATTATATGTATGAAGCTCTTGAATAATAATATTTAATTTACTCTGATCCTAATGTACACTCCTTGAGGATTAAACCGTAGGGCAGTAACTTTGATCCTAGCCTACAACTTAATATCCTCCTTATGGGATAGTTACCAGATGATCCCAATTTTGCTAATAGTTGTGAAAATGCAATTATTAATAAGTTGATTTTTTTGAGCTCAATTGTAATGTGGCATTAAAAATCCATTGAAGCATTATCATAAAGGGCCATAAGGGGGCGATATTATTCTATGAAAGTTTTACCCTTTTCTCTATAAAATGCACTCGAAAGGAGCTAGGGTCTTCATTGACAATGAAATGAAATTTAATATTCCCTGTTCTCAGTTTTTAAAGCTAATGAATGAAATATTTTAGATTTATCTCACCATGTCATATAAACCTCCAAATAAATGTTTTTCATTTATGTGATCCTAAATTGATTTTTTTATTATTATTAGTGATCCTGAGAAGAAAAGTTTCTTACTCTTGCTTTCTTACATATTCACTCTGATAAATATTCAGTGTTTAATTAAATTTCAGTAAGCATTTCACCATTTATTATGCACATTATAGTAATATAAAAATATGAATTAAGAGGCAATATATTCATTTTTATGTACAAGATCCAAAAAATATTAAGTAATATTCCCTTCTTACCTCTACTTTGTATGTAATGATCCTGGGTTAGAGACTTTACAGATAGTCTTATTCAACCCTTTATTTTACAGATGAAGAAACTAAGGCCCAGAGAGGGGAATAAATCCAATGCCCACAACAGTGTATTGGGCTGCTCTCATAGTGCAGATATATTTATATTTTCAAGTTAGAATATAAAAAGTATATGTTGAATATCTTGAGAAAATAAAATGAAAAATAGTGGAATATTTTTATTCTTCAGGTGCCAGAAACTAATATCCTAGGACAGCTTGGTGATGGGTACAGATATGCCATTGGAATGCTTAATGAAGGCAGAATAGGAATTGCTGCACAGGTGAGTAGCACCTTCTGATGTTCAAACTTAGATCATTTGCGTTTGAATCAATGAAGCTATAGAACTATTGTCAAGTCAAACCTTTAGAAAAGCTTATTGCCACTAGATGTCACACTTCTTTTACATAATGGAAAGAAAATGACTGTTTAAAGAGAATCTCTATGTAAAATTAAGGGCAAGAAAATGGAAGTATCCAGAGGAAAAAAACTATTGACTCAGTACTAGCAGTTTTTCTCCATTTTAAGAGCACCAAAATAATAAATAATATCTATGTTAGTACTTCAAAAATGTATCCTAAAATTAAATGTGGCTTAAGAAAACAACTTTTCAAAGCATAAAATTCTTACTGAAGAACCTTTTAAAAAAGAGGTTGGAAGGTCAGGTATGAATAATATCAACTATGCTAAGATATGGTACTAGATATCACTACTCCTTTGAGACCCTCAAGCTACTTGGCTTAGTTTTAACAAGAACAAGTTGAACCTATTATTTTATATGGGCATATAAAATAAAATTATCAGAATTAAATAAGCATGTAAAATATCATACTATTTAAAAGTCGATCAGATCTGTTTCTAAGAATTCTTTTGTTTTTTTTGGTCCAGACCTGTGTAAGTCTTCAGAGTAAAAAGAGTTCTTTGAATAGTTCTTCAATGTAAAGAATTCCCTCCTTCCCCAACACAGAACACCAGGCAGCTGCTCTGCTATTTATAATCTTAGAGTTGTCTGAGACACTGAAGGGTTAAGTGCCTCAAGGTCACACAGCCAAAGTGTCAGAAGTAAGACTTGAAGTCAGGCTGAGTGGGTTCTCTATTTCCTATCCCATGATACCTCGCAAGGATTCCTGTTGTGACTGCTTTTAATAGAAGATGACTATTTTTCTCAGTTAAGTAAATGAATCTTCCATTGATACTCTGTTCCAACATCTTGTTCTATTTGTATAAAATCTTGGCAAGGAGTATGGTGACCAAAATAAATTTTTAGCAAATTCTTTTCACCAGTGAGGTCAGGGGAGCCACCACATTTGGATCCTAACACAATCCCTGATGTGCATCGTAAGGAAGGTAAAGTGAAGCTGAAGAAAACCCAAATGAGAAAAGAAGCTGAACTAGAGTAAATATACACAGAGGAAATTCATGTTGCAGGCAACAGTGTTTTAAGGGTATTGAGATATTGATTCTCAAAGCATTTGAAAGAAGCGAATATTCCCAAGATGGAGAAAAATAGTAGATGTATCACCAGGATCAAAACTAAGGCCTATTTGCCTTCTTTTTCATTTTTACCAAATTTTATGAGAATAATCTACATACACATCAAGAGCATCCTTGAAGGTTTGAGAAGAGGAGGAAGAAGCAAGATTTTGCAAATAATGTTCTAAGTAGACTGAATCTTTACAGAGTTGACCAAAGAATACATTATCCCATTAGGTTTATTTGTTGAGTATAGAATATATTTGATTCAGTAGAACAGGATACCACCTTAAAAAGTCTCCTACATAGAGGTGACTTCATGTATATTTCAGAAACGGACAAAATTAATCAGCAGATATTAAGTGCCTACTTTGTGCCAAGTATTGTGTGAGGTACTTGGGATGCCAATGCTAAAGTGAAACCATCTCTGTCCTCAAATGGCTCAGCATATATAAAGTGTATGCAAAATGAATATAAGGTAGATTTAGGAGGGAGGGTGCAAGCATCTGTGAGATCATGTAAAAGGTGGCACTTGAGCCATTTTAGGAGGTTTAGGTACAGAGAGTTCAGGTATTTCAGGCATGAGACAGCCAGTGAAAAAGCACAGGAATAGGAGATGGAGTTTCTCCTCTACAGAATAGCAAATGCTACAATAGCAAAATGCTACAGAATAGCAAATGACTAGGGGTGAGGAACCTTCAGCCTTAAGGCCACATGTGATCTTCTATGTCCTGAAGTGTGGCCTTTTGACTGAATCCAAATTTTACATAACACATCCTTTTTTTATTAATGCATTTTGTTCATCTTTTATAATTTTATTTTATTTTTAAAATGAACACATTTAAAATACCAAAGAATAAAATAAGTCTCAATGAAATAATCCTCCCAGATTGACTGGCACAATTAAACATTAGTAAGCCATAAGGGCTAAATTGATAGCTATTATGCTTATTATTTAGTTCTAACTTTTCCCACCTGACTAGCACCACTACTGCATGAAGCTGGTTGGTGAGAGTTTATGGGGGTTGAGTACACCAGTCTGTCATCAGCTTTTGGCAGTGGTACACTGTTTCTGTTTGAAGTGGAATGTGTGAAGAGTTGCATAGCTTGACAGTATTTTTTAATTCTGTCTGCTTAAGAGCCCATCATGTCAAAGAAGACCAAGAGAGCACTGAAGGAAGAAAGCATTTTTGGGGGGTTAGGCAGTGGGGTTAAGTGACTTGCCCAGGGTCACAAGCAGAAAACATTTTTTAATAAGGATTGGGAATTGCAGTGTTGTCTTGTTTCTGCTAAAGATAAGATGATTTGCTTGCTTTGTGATACTACGGTATCAACATTAAAGAAATCCAATGCTCATCAGCATTATAATAGTCATAAGAACCACAAATATTTTAAATTAGAGGGAGAGGCACAAAAGGTTGTATTGCAGAAATTAAAAGATGAAAAGCAAAAGCATAGACATGTCTTTCAAGCAGCAGTAAGACCTGGAAATAATGCCACTGAAGCAACTTAGCTTATATACTTGGGGAAAAAAGAGAAGCCATTCAGTGATGTAGAAATTGTGAAAGAATGCATTATCAAAGTTGTAGGATGCTTAGACCCTAATAGTGTTTCAAAATACAAACAGTTGCCTTTTTCGAGGAGAACCATAACTGATTGGCAACACAAACTTGCCTTCAATTTAGCAGAACAACTTCATGCAATACTTTAAAACGAAAATATATATTATTCAATTGCTTTGGATGAATCAACTGACTTACCATTTGAGTCATAACAGAAGATTTTCTCTTCTGCAAAGAGTCACATGCTCTGGGCGCTGTTGTGAACAGAACACAGGGAATAGATATCTTCAACAACTTTCGAGATAAATGTCATGAAGTTGGTCAGAATTTGGTAACTTTAGTGAGTGTATGTACAGAGGGTGCACTTTCTGTGACAGGAAAACATGAAGAGTTTATTGCACGGATAAAAAAAGTATTAGATCAAGATACTCTCATTTCTTTTCATTGTATTTTGCCTCAGCAAAATCTCTGCTAAAGCTACTATTGTAAGTGACACTTTGCAACAAGATACAAGTTTTGTTAACTACATTTGTGCAAATGCAACATGGCATTTCATAACATGTTTCATAACATGCTAAAGTTGAATGATGAGGTATTCAGTGTGGCTCTGCTGTATCATTCTAAAGTGCATTGTCTATCACAGGGACAAGTATTGGCCAAAATTTTATCTCTGCGACAACAGATAGCTAAATTTTATGAAGAAAGAATTAGCAGTCTGAATTATTGAAAGAGCATTTCTATAGGAATGTGTATTTCTTTGTGATGTCATGTCAAATCAAAGTGACTTGAATATTTCTTTGCAAGGTAAAACTAAGTAGATATATGATACGCGGCAAAAAATGTAAGCATTTCAAAAAAAGCTATCTTTTTTCAAACACTGCTTCTTCAAAAGGAAATTTTGGATGAACATGTTCCCAGTTAGCAAAAGTCATTGATGAGCAAGATGATATATGCAACTCATTTGTACACATATAACACAGCTGTTGTAGACCTATTAATTGGAGAATACAATGTAAGATTCATTGACTTTGAGAATCATGACATCACACTCAAATTAGCATTTCATCCTCACCTAGTTGATATCACCAGGGAACCTAAAGAACTACAGATGGAATTGCTTGAACTCTCAGTAGGTGACATTTTAAAGGTCATTATTTGATGCTAAGAAAGATCCAATTGAAATATGGAAAAATGCAGTAGAATACCATGCCTTTGGCAACATGCCCAAAAATACTTTCTTGCTTTTCAACCACTTATTGCTGTAAATCTACATTCTCCTACCTAACTCAAATGAAGACACCCTTAAGGTCACAAATGACTGATACCCATCTAGAGGATCAGTTGAAACTACAGACCTCCATGCTGCAACCAAATATTCAAATGCTTTCTAACAAAAAGCAGTCACAACAAAGTCATTAAAAGGTTAGTTAACTTTAAAATTAACAAATAGTGTTCATCTTTTGAAATTATTAAGTACATAGATTTTTACAAAATAATGTACATTTTAAGTATATCTGATTGAAGTTTCTTGAATGTGGCCTTATTTGATTACAACTAAATATTAATGTGGCCTTCCATCGTGAAAAGGTTCCCCACCCCTGTAATAGACTCTGTAATCTGGACTGTAGCATGTGTGGAAGGGAGGAAAGAGAGAAGGGGTCCAGGTTGTGAAGTAGTTAAATGACACAAAGGAGATTATATTTGATCCTAGGAAAATAAAAGAGCCCTTAGAATTCCATGAAAGATGCAACAGCAGAGAGAACTTTGAGACAGGATGGCAAAGAGAAAAGAAGGCCGGATTTGGAGTTGGATGCTCTGGGTTCAGATTCCAGCTGTGCCACTTCCCATATGACTTTGAGCGAATCATCTAACTTCTCTGGGTCTTAGTATTCTGGAAAACAAGGAGTTTGAACTAGATAAACTTCAAGGTCCCTTTTGACTCAGAATCTGTGCCCTTTTGATGACTCTATGACCAGAAGTAGCAAGTGAAATCTGAAACAAGAAGATGTATGCTTCCCAGGGGTGTTTTTCACTGTCATTTAAGGTGTCTTTTCCTTTCAAGCACCATCTTAAGCACTAATCCTTTCCTTTTCTCCCCCAAATGCTAGTGTCCTCCCTCCCAAACTATTTTGTATTTTAATTACTTTTAATGTTTGTCCTTATAAACTTTATGTTGTGTGTGTATATTTTAAAGGTTTTTGTCTCCCCCATTAGGAATGGTTTCATTCTTTGTACTTATATCCACAGTACCTAGCAAACAGTAGCACTTCACAAATACTTGCCATTTAATTGGTTGATAATCAGATCAAAATCCAGATGGAAGGGTTGATTGCTTTTGGATGATTAATTCCTTCAGATGTCCCTGTTTGTTAATGACACAGTCTTGATTGTATCAAGTCCCAGAACATTACCTAGTCTTCTAAATGAGATCCATAATCACTTTTAAAAGTTTGGCCTAACAAAAAGGAAAAACCAGGCAGATCACAAATATCTGTTTTTCATACTGTGGTAGATATAGTCCATTGGAATATATATTATTATCATTATCATAAATACAGAGACTACAAATGAACAGTGCTAGGTCCAGAACTAAAAAGAAGAATTGAAAATTGTATTTTTGGGAAATTGCTGAATTATTTTAATTACCATAAGCTTCTCTCTGAAACAAAGCCTATCCTCATAACATCCATACTTTTGTGGTACTGCTGTATCATGCGTCACCTGAAGGGCACTTTCAGGATATGTGGCTAGTTTGAAGAAACTGTAAACACATTAAAAACAAGGAATTTTACAGAAGTAATGTAAAGGCTATCATCAAATAGGCATCTGATTAGAATAAGGAAAGCTGGCTAAGTGAAGGGTAACTGATGTTAATCCATATAACTGATGTACACCATTGGTTTCCATGTAATATTAGAACAAGAGGAGCAATTAGGTGGACCCCTACAGCTGATTACAAAGAGAACATGGACAGGATTCCCACAGGATGGGGAGGCATAGGACGATATCTGACTGTTGGAGGATATAACCACATCAATAAGAACACAGATTTATTGAAGTTCAAAAATAAAATGTATCTTGTAATTTGTGAATCATCATTATAGAACTAATGATTACCCGCCCCCCCCTTTTACAACTTATGCTACCCAGGTAGCTAGCTAGTTTTAGATAAAGACTTAAACCCAGGCTTCTCAGAAGGCAACATAGCATGCATGATGTTGGCTTTTCTATCCTTTTTAAAGTTTATCTGTGATTAAACTTTGTCAGATATGGCACTAAAAACTGCAGCACTGGATCTCACTGTTTCCAGGGATATAAATAATATAGGTGTTCTGGCAGTAAAATACACTGCCTTGGCTTTACTCTAATTACTCTAAGTTACTCTTATAACCTAATTAAAAATTAAGGTCATGTGATTATTATATCTTGGTTAATACTTTGGGTACCTTTTAGTGAGAGAGGAATGTGTCACAGAATGAAAATAAACATCAATCCTTGAAACTCTAAATGTAGAGGATTTAACTTTGCAACATTTACAATAAAAGACTTTTTACTTCCATAGAATGCAATTTTGATTGATAACTGATTTTATCAGTTTTTACATCAATAACAATACCATCTCTCTGCAAACTTTAATAATAAGAGTATGGAATAACCATGTTTTCGCACTGACAATGCTTCAGTGTGGTATGCTGTCTCCCACTGCTTTTGACATTACTTGTATTTTATATTTGACAATTATTTGTATATTATATGTACCTTCGAAAGCAAGAAATTAAAGGAAAACATAAAGAAATACTAATGAAACATTGATGAGTTAGAAGGTATTTCTACCAAAACGCTTTGTTTAACTCTTATTTTTTCCCTTTAAAAAATAGACAACCCAAAATTGGTGGTCATTTGGATAATAATTGAATGGAGCTCGCAGATATAGAGCTGAAAGGGACCTTTGGGTTCAGTTTAAATTCCTCACTTTATAGATGAGAAAACTGCGGCCCAAAGAGATCACTCAGCAGTATATGGCAGAGGTGACATTTGAACTCAGGTTTTCTGACTCTACATCTAGTACTCTTTCTTCTATGCCATACTTTTGGATACACAAAGTAAAATTTTGTCACAGTTTAATTGGCTCAGCACTTGGAGAGAGTATGGAAAAAACCATATTTAAAGTTTTAACACATTTTTACTCACTAAAGCCTCAGTGGTGTGAATTAGAGGTGATTAGTGCTTTTTCTGTACATCTTATGTGCTCTAATGCCCTTTTCACCAAAGTGTTAATAATCCTATTAATCATAATCACATGTGATTCAAAAGAGAAGCTAAAGACAGACTGGGTATAAAGACAGAACATTCAGAAGTGACTTCCCAAGTGAGGATGTGAAGGATACTGAGAGGAGACTCCAGGGACCTCCTTAAACCAATCTAAGTGAGACAATTGGGGGGTCAGAAAATTAGAAATTAAGAAGGTTGATTATAAAATACTTTGATCTTCTGCTGTGCAAAGAGACTTACTTTCTTGTATCAGTATGTCTTAAATAATATTGCCTGCAGTCATTGGGGTTTTGGCTAGGCCATTTTATACCATTCCTATTTTTAAAAACAACCCCCCAGGCCCCAATAACTATTATTGTTTCCAAAAATAGCTATTATATCTGCCAAGAAAAAGACTCTACCACTGTGGATAAATTAAAATATGAGCATGTAACCAATCTAGCCTTCTTTCTTATCATTTACAGATGTTAGGACTGGCACAGGGATGTTTTGACCACACCATTCCATATCTTAAAGAAAGAACGCAGTTTGGTGAAAGAATATTTTCTTTTCAGGTAAAAATTATAATGATCACTTAACCCTAATCATTTATTTTGTATTATCAGAGAAATCCCTCATAAATTTGTAAAGGGTTTAAATGGGGCAGCAGTAAGGGTGTTAAGAATCAAAAGTTCCTTACTAAAGGAAGCTATGTGAGGGTGGGAAATATGGCTTATCTAAAAATTTGTTTTTTAGTCATTGTCTACCACAATGTTCTTTTTTCCCCTTTTTAAAAATTTTATTTTCAGTTCCAAAATCTCCCTTTCTCTATTCCTTCCCCACCCATATGAGAAGGCAAGAAGAACAAAAGTTGCATTATGAATATGTAGTAATTCAAAGTTTCCCATTGCCCATGTCCAACAAAAAGAAAAAGAGAAAAGAAAAGAAAAAGAAAGAAAGAAAGTAACATTCTCTGATCTACATTCTGAGTCCATCACTTCTCTATCTGGAGGTGGATACCATGTTTTATCATGAGTTCTTTGGAACTGTGGTTAGTTTAGAGTTCCTAAGCCTTTCAGAATTAATTGTCCTTAGAATATAATTGTTATCATATAAGTTGTTCTCCTGGTTCTGCTTACTTCACTCTGCATCAGTTTGTACAAGTCTTTCTAGGTTTTTCTGAAACCATCCCCTTCATTATTTCTTATAGCACAATAGTATTCCATCACATTCATGTATCATAACTTGCTTTGCCATTGCCCAGTTGATGAGCATCCCCTTAGTTTCCAATTCTTTGCTACTGCAAAAGGAGTGGTGATAAATATTTTTCTACATATGAGTCCTTTTCGTTTTTCTTTGATCTCTTTTGGACATAGAGCTAGTTTTGCTGGGTCAAAGAGAATGCATAGTTTTTTGAGCATAGTTCCAAATTGCTTTCCAGAATAGTTGGACTAGTTCAGCTACACCAACAGTTCATTAAAGAATCTATTTTCGTAAATGCTCTAAAATCACTATTGATTGGAGAAAAGAAAATCAAAACAACTCTGAAGTACCACATCACACCTATCAGATTGTCTAACATGACAAAATAGTAAGATGATAAATGATAAATGTTGGAGAAGATGTGGGAAAACTGGAACACTAATGCATTATTGGTGGAGTTGTGAACTGATCCAGCCATTCTGGAGAGCAATTTTGGAACTGTGCCCAGAGGGCTATAAAACTGTGCATACCCTTTGGCCCAGCAATATCACTTCTAGATCTGTATACCAAAGAGATAATAAAAGTGGGAAATGAACCCACATGTACAAAAATATCTATAGCAACTCTTTTTGTGGTGGCAAAGAATTGGAAATTGAGAGGATGCCCATCAATTGGGGAATGGCTGAACAAGTTGTGGTATGTGAATGTAATGGAATACTGTTGTGCTATAAGAAATGATGAGCAGGCAATCTTCAAAAAAACTTGGAAAGACTTACATAAACTGATGCTGAGTGAAACAAGCAGAACCAGCAGAACATTGTACACAGTAACACTCAGGTTGTGCAATGACTGACTTTGATAGACTGAGCTCTTCTCATCAATGCAAGGATCTAAGACAACTCCAGAAGACTCATGACAGAAAATGCTGTCCACAACCAGAGAAAGAACTATGGAGTCTGAATGCAGATCGAGCGTACTATTTGCTGTCCTTTTTGTTTGTTTTGTTTCTTCTTTCTCATGGTTTCTTCCATTGGTTCTGATTCTTCTTTACAACATGACTAATGTGAAAATATGTTTAATAGGAATGTATCTGTAGAGCCTATATCAGATTGCACACCATCTTGGGGCAGGGAGCAAGGAGGAGATTTGGAACTCAAAATCTCATGGAAGTAAATGTTGAAAACTAAAAATAAATTAATTGATTTTAAAAAATCTATTTTCTCATAGCCCCTCCAGCATGTAATTTTCCTTTTTTGTGAACTTAGCCAATGTGACAAGTGTATTGTAATGTTCTTTAAAGAGTAAGCATTTAACAAATACTGTTTGTACGAATGGATAAAAGTGCCCCCCTTTCACGAGGAATGAGTCATGTAAGTGTACATGTGAATCCCTTGGCATTTGTCTTGGGACAGAGCGACAGTCCTTAAAGAATCTTTCAGCAGGTGTTTATGAGATGCAAACCCCAAAATATATACCTGATATATTGGCTCACATCTATAAGGTACTACCATAGTCTCAACAACACTTTAAGGCAGGTAACCTAAGCATTATTGTCTCCATTTTACAGATGAGGAAACTAAAGCTCAAAAAGGTTCAGTGATTACTGGATGTAGTACCTAGTACTAGTAAGAGCTGGAGTTAGAATTCAAACTCAGGGCCCCAAACCCAGAACTGTCTTCCAGCATACCACCCTGCCTCTGTGATTGAAAGGTGAATAGTGCATTGTATTTGTCAAAGTGCTTTCACGTCCATAACCTTATTAGTTCTCTCAACAGCATCATGAGATTAGTAGGGCCAATGATGTTGTCCACTTTTATTGTCTGCAAAATAGAGTGCACAGCTATTTAATGACAAAACCAGACTCAAAACTCTTGGTGTCCACTGCTCTTTTCGCTGGTCTACGCTATTTCCACAGAGCTATGGGTATCTTATCCTAGATTACCAGATAAGGGAAGAGTGTGAAGCAAGGTTCTTTTCTCCTTTACACTATAGGAAAGAGGTGTTTATGTGTAGCAGGGAGAATCAAACTCAGTCATATTTAAAATGATAAAACACGTTATGAAAATAATCATATTTCTTTAATACATTTTGTTTAGGCAAAACTGCTGGTATGCTATAATTTTAAAAATTAAAAAAGTTTTTGAAAAAACCATTTTAGGATTATTTTGGAGGATTTCAGGTTTTCAGGTGAGGTTGTAAAATAAAATTGCTTTTCTTTTTCCTGCTTTTTTTATTCATCTATAACTATTTGTTCTTATGTTTTATATGAAATTTTAATTCATCATTGAATGAGGCTCCAGTGTTGTAAATACCCAGTGTTTCTATGTTTCTTAGATATTTCACTTTCAGGGCTAACTCTCTTCCACCAGTCTCTGTTTGATTAGAGAAGGCTAGCTCCTAGTCAAATGGGTAATTATATCATTGAGTTCAGGCATCAGAAATCTTTTAGTTTTCATTAAATATTTCTGGGTAACATTTCCAAGGGTTTATCTTTTCCTGTAACTTTTTATGATTCAGCTTTCATAGTGAAGTTTTCAAAGCTTTTCATGCAGGTTGAACAATTCTTTTAAGTACAATATGAAAAACAAAACAGCTTCTGCTGGATTCTACCATCCTGGGAAGAAAACTGTTGTTCATTTATATTGCTCAATAGTGATACTTTATTATTATCACTTGCAAGGGGAATAATGAATGTTTTAAAATGTTTTTAGCACTCTTCTATTTGAAAATTTTTTGTGCTTTGGGAAATTTCAGAGTCAAGTTTTTTTCAAATAATAAAATTAGTGGATATAATCAAATTTTGGCTTTACTAGAATTTACCATGAACTCTTTTTTTTAAGGATTAGAAATTATAATTAAGTTTAATAAAAATTTTTATCTTTGTGCTATATTATTTTTTATTATCTTGAATATTTATCGTGAAGAATTATTTGAACTTTGAAATGCTCTAAGAAAAGAGGATTTTAACAATGCATATGGTATCATATTTCATTTTAGAATGTAGATTAAGCAGTATTTAAAAAGTAATGCACATGAATTTCCTTTTGCAATATTCTGTGTCTGGCAGTTTTCCCTTGCAAGGCATTCCTTTAAGGATGAGAGATGTTCTTGCAAACTACAATTATAACTTTAATGCTGGCTCTGAATATTGTAGGGAATTCAACATCAAGTAGCTCACGTGGCCACACAGCTCGAGGCTGCAAGATTGCTGACGTACAACGCTGCCAGACTTTCACAAACTGGAAAACCATTTATAAAAGAAGCTTCCATGGCGAAATACTTTGCATCAGAGGTAAGAATAGAAATCTATTCCCAAATAGTTTTTTCTTTGTGTATGTAACCAGTTTATAAAGACTTTTACCTAAAATTACTAAGTAATTTGACTGACTTAGATAGACTGCCCATAAATGAAGGTGTGATTAGGACGTTTTGATATTTTTGAGGGCACAAAGATTCAATTTAGTGAGTTACCTCTTGTAGTATCCTTAAATTAAAACTGAATTGTTTGATAGAATTAACACTTCATTTCATAGTGAAGTTTTCAAAACTTTTCATGCAGGTTGAGCAATTCTTTTAAGTACAGTATGAAAAACAAAAGAGCTTCTACTGGATTCCACCATCCTGGGAAGAAAACTGTTGTTCATTTATATCGCACGAAAGTGATACTTTATTATTATCACTTGCAAGTTGGTTTAGATACTTATTAATGGTGAGATCAAGTTCAAAGTTTTCAGTTTGGCTAGATAAAATGTGAAAGTGAAATACCATAGAAAATTTTTATTTAGTATCTAAGGTACCATAAACCACACCATGAGGAAGAGCAACAAAGAAACTATTTCTCATGGTCCCTTGGTATTAGGTGTTAATAGTGTTCAAAGGAAAACGAAACCTTTGTTTTGATATATGTCATAAATGAGACATTTAACTCATTAGGCCTTTTTGGGGTGCTCAGAGAATTATTTTAACAGCTAGTCCTGGCAATTTGTCTAGTAATCAAGTGCAGAAAGCTAACTAATTTTGGCTGGGTTAGCTAAAGGAAAGAGTTTTGTGGAGTCTAAGAAATATTGCAAAACTGATAAGACATTTTAAGGGAGGCAAGGGACAGAAACCAAATGATACTCTAGTCATCCTTTTCAGATGTTTTTCATAGTAAAAATGTTTAATTCCAGTGTGTGAGATGGTGTGCAAATTATTATGTAATATTTTAATTTTTTGCTAGATTGCTGGACTGACGACTAGTAAATGCATAGAGTGGATGGGTGGAGTCGGGTACACCAAAGATTTTCCAATGGAAAAATACTTCAGAGATGCAAAGATTGGTAAGTAGGCCTCTTTTCATATTCTTAATTAGTCATAAGAAATTACCTTCTATTCAGCATATACTTTCTGAGACCTAGTTAGGATTTTTCCCCTTTCTATTGCTTTAAAAAATTCCCATTAATTTTAAAATACCAACATACCTTTAAAAATGTATCACTAGCATTTAGATTCTTAAGGTAGCATACATATTTTTAATATAACAGTCTAAATATGAAAACAAATGTAATGCCAAGTAGGAACTTTAATATTATCTTAATTTCTTTGCATTTCTTTAATGATTGGTATGGCTTAATTTAGTTGTTGATGCATCACCGTATTTTAGAAGTTAGTTATTTAATAGAGCCTGACTAGTTCTGGACTTCTCCCTGCTAATGAAATAGGTAAAATTCCAGTGACTTCATAGTGATCTATTCCATAAGAATAGAGCCAAGTCTTATTTAAACTTCAATACTTTATCGAACCTTCAGTCTCATCCATATATGTGCCTTCCATTGATAAAAAATGGCAGCCTATCTTACTTCCTCATCCAGTACTTTTATTATCCTTGTTTCCCATAAAACTCCCACAAATATCTGTCTGGTGTTCTGGAGGCCTTCCTCTAGGTTTCTCCATCTTCTGGGTAACTTAGAAGATGGAAACTTGCAGTTTCTAATGTTGACTCTAAAAATCTTTAAGCCAGATAGAGAAGTATTTCATGTTGGAAATTAGTAAAATTCAGCAGTAAGAGGGTGCATTAAGAAGAGATTGGCAGGTCGCCCGAATTACTTTTTCCTTCCTACATTTTTGACTCCTGCCATCATTACTTTCCTTACTTTGTTTGAACCAGTTCTCATGTAACTAAAGTAACCCCCTCTGACACCTTGGAGAAATGTCATAGTAAAATAGAATCCTTCCTTTGCCATCCACAGTTCTCTGTTTGACAATGCAATTTGATATTTAAAATCAATTTTGTACTATTTATCCTTAACCATATACTAGTCTTTATCAGCTTAGGACTTTTGTTAATAGAGACGCGAGTTTTGTCATCAGTAGAACAATTTTCCTGCAAGTTTGTTTTCAATAGACAGAATAACTCAAAGAAAACCATATAGGGTTCATGTTTGTTCTTTCCTTCATTGATTTTCAGTAGTAAGACACAAAATTGGCAAGTAAAGCTTTTTGCAGAAAATTTGTCTAACACTCGACAGCACATGTTTACTTCTTCTTGTTTCCATCTCTCCCTTCCACCCTCCCCTGTGTTTTAGGTACGATATATGAAGGAACATCAAATATCCAGTTAAATACCATAGCAAAATTGTTAGGTAAAGAATACTGAGGATCACAAGAACATGACGACTGTTACTGAGCCACTTACGTAAAACATAAATCGAGTGCCTTATATGGGAAAGAGTGGGATATTTTCAAGCTGGAATTGTCTTCTGTACTACTTACATTCTTTTGGAATATATTGGGTAAAACTGCCTTTCGCTTGTCACCAGTGATTCAAAGCAGGTAACTTTGCTTCATGATGTACAAAGGTTAATTTTTCCCAGCATCTGGCAAAATTAAGATATTTCTTTTGAGTTAATTATTACAAAAATTGTCATTTCAACTTTATTTTAGAATCTATCATATTTCTAATACAGATTAGAGAAATTGGTATTGGAGTAGGTTATTTGTATTTAATACCTTTGCAGATTCACCAATGTCTAGTATAGTGCATCAAACATAATCTATTTTGCATATGTTTCTTGAAAGATTGAATGCTGGTAAGTTCAGAAATTGATAGAAATTCATCAAGAAAAGCTAAGACAGCCATTTTAAATGTCAAAGAATTTGTATAGTATAATAGTACAAGTCAGTTAAAGGAACTGTTGTTTAATTTATATGTAATTGTTTTAATTAGAACAAAATGTGATGTTTGCTGTTGAGCTCATTTAAAAATTATAAATGGTGTAATCATTTCAGCAGATTGTTTAAGAAATAAATCTCAGCAATTTTAAAAAATGTCTTAGCATCACTTTTCAAGTTGTGTGGTTAAGAAACTTTGTAAAATATTTTTAAATCAGTTAATTTTGTAAAATTAAAGATCTCCGCCAAGCACTGTTTTTCAGTAACTCAATATCTTTCTGAATCCAAATTGTATATTGTTAACTCTAATTAGTTTATTGAGCCTTATTGTGAAAAAAATCAAAAATTGTGTTTTTTAATCAAGCCCATGGTGAAATATGGATTGTTTACTACTTTATTTTGAAAGGATTATGCTGCAAATCAGAGAACTTTGACATTTGGTGTAAAAGTATATTTTCAAAATAAGTTTTCTAAAGCAAATAATAGTTACGCATCTGAAATGTATAAATGCAACCTAAAGGGAGGAACCATCTTTGACTAATGAAGAGATGAAGAAAGAAAAATTTGGAATATAGTTCAGAAAAGATAGCAATCTACTGTACTATAAAATAAGTTAGTGATAAAAGTCCCAGCATTCAGTCCTTCTGAGCAAGAAGTCAGAGCAACCTGATAAAGAAGGCATCACAGTCGTTGCACCTTAATTTACCAGTTAGGATGCTTGAGGAATTGAAGGGGGACTGTTAATAGTGCCAAAGAATTATATACACAATAGTGTCAACCCTTGCTGGCCTGGGAAGAAAAGGATTGATACCCAAAAGTAATTTTTCAGTCTCCTTAACCATTGGATTGGTGACTTTAGAGATTTGTTTTAGAACACAGGAAATTAATTGGTGTCAGAACTATTATTCTCACCATTGGGTAGCTTGTGATATGTTGTTGGCATTACGTTGAGCTTAACTGATAAGGAATTAATCTGGTTCCTGTCAGAAGTAGATAGATAAAACATGTGTTAAGCACTTACTATGTTCCAGGCAGCATGCTAAGTATTAAGAATATGCTAATTCAGCATTATTTTGACTTACATATCTTTACATTTGCCAAAGCCATTGACCAGTTGGAGAGATTTGGAGTACTAGGCCTATGTTAAAAATTAGTATTACCATGTATTGTCATATGAACATGTGATTATAATGGATTTTAATAAATATTGGCATTGAATTACTTCATAATTTTGCTTTCTAAATAATATGCGGCCATGCCATTCTGTGTTATAAATCAGTACTTTATGGAAAGTGGAAAAATCAAAGGCTAAATATCCTAAGGTGTCAATATTCGATAAATGCAGAATTGTTCATTATTGTCCATATTAGTGACTTTCAGAAAAAAATCAGTGATCCCAGCTTTTTTCTAAGTAATGATTAATACTTGATTTAAATCTGATTAAGAAAGCTTTCACTTACTGAGGGTTAATGTTTACCTATTATATAACCCATTTCTGTCAGTTTTTCAGGTAAGACTCTTAGTAGTGGTTATAATTTTACATTCTGGGTCCCCAGGCAAAACTGGTAGGGAAAATCTTCTTGTCCCTTTTCTTAGTTTCAAATTGAGAGATGCTCAGCAAAAAGGTCTGCTTGTTTGCAATGTAGATAGTACATATATCAGTCCTTTACAGAGTTATTTTCAGAAAATTGTAGTGACTTTGTTTTATTTTGGATCACAGATGATTTCTGATTTTGTTTATGTAGGGAACTCCCTCTTCTATGAATGGAAATCAGCCACCAGCCGAGCTGAAGCTTGTAGTCTCGAGAGAGCTAGCTGAGGCACTGAAAGGGGCCGCACAGGCGGCATTGAGTCAGAGGTGGGACTTGGAGCCATGTCTTTCTTATTCCTAGTTGGCTTTTTGTCCACTAAACTTTGCTGCCTCTCTGGCATACTGTTGAATACTCATTGCTTAATAGTTTATTACTCTATATCCAAAGATAGATCTAATTTTTTTACCCTTTTTCCTAAATTACATTGGAACCTTCTTTTTTCTTGTGTCATTATCTCAGTTGTCCCTTCATTTGCCATGTCATTTTATTTGCAGGCTGGTCTGACCTTAGAACTAGTCAGTCATCTACATGATTTGATATGAGAAGATAGTTTTGAACACCTACTTTGTTCAAGGCCCTCAAGTCAAAAATAAAACAGCCCTTGTCCTTGACTAATTTTCCCCTGGGGAGGAGACAGCATATATACAAATAAATATTAAAGAAAGAAAGTTGTAGAGAAGGAGAGGAAACTGAGAAAGAAATGGGGAAAGACTTTGTTTTGTTTTTGTTTTTGCAGAATATGTTTTATTTAACAATTTATTTGTTTTTAGTTTTCAGCATTCACTTCCATAAGATTTTGAGTTTTAAATTTTCTCTCCCTCCCTCTCCTCCCCCCTCCCCAAGATGGCATGCAATCTGATATAGGCTCTACTTATACATTCATATTAAGTATATTTTCACATCAGTCATGATGTAAAGAAGAACTAGAACTAATAGGAGGAACCACGAGAAAGAAGAAACAAAACAAAACCACAAAAGTAAAAGAGCAGATAGATAGTATGCTTCCATCTGCATTCAGACTCCATAGTTCTTTCTCTGGATGTGGATAGCATTTTCCATCGTGAGTCTTTTGGAGTAATCTTAACTCCTTCTATTGCTGAGAAGAGCTAAATCTATCAAGGTCAGTCATCGCACAGTGTGGCTATTACTGTGTACCATGTTCTCCTGGTTCTGCTCACTTCAGTCAGCATCAGTTCATGTTAAGTCTTTCCAGGTTTTTCTGAAGTCCACCTGCTCATCATTTCTTATAGCACAATAGTATTCCATTACATTCACATACCACAACTTGTTCAGCCATTCCCCAATTGATGGGCATCCCCTCAATTTCCAGTTCTTTACCACCACAAAAAGAGTTGCTGTAGATACTGTTGTACATGTGGGTCCTGGAAAAAACTTTGTTGATGGTAGCAGAGGTAAACCTTGAAGACAGAGCGGGGAGGAGAAGGGAAGGCATTCCAGGCAAGAGGAAGGACTTATGCTAATGCATACAGGCAGGAGATGACGGTATAAGAGAGAGGGAAGTCCTGACTGTAATTTCCACAGACTAGAATCCTCACAAACTGGACCAAAGTCACACATGAAGTCAGCTCAGATGTTACATCTGCAGTTGAAAGGGATAAGGCACACTCAGAAGACATCCTACACGTGCGTTAGATTTGTTGTCAGGCCTAGTGTCAGAGGCCGTAAGGGCCAGTTGTTATCTGTAGGAAAGGATTGAATGCCTTTGGCCATAGTATCTTCCTCTTTTATTTTAACTCATGGTTTCTGTTTTAATACTGGATATGTGATCTCCTTCATGTGGGTACTTCTTCTTGCGATGCAGATTATACTATCGTGCCTGCTGTTTCTATGGGACTCTTGTCCCTATCCTCCCATATGCAGTCCACGTCAGGGAGTTAATTTCATTTAATTCAATGAACATTTATAGAGTATTCTCTATGTGCAAAATATTGTGCTATGAACTAATGTAATTCAAAATACTAATTCACTGTATAGCGGAGGGATCTATTGCTTCCTCGTTCTGCAGATATACAATGTGATTGGCTCACAATTGCTTTCACTACAACAAAATATTAGCAGTATCACATCCTCATCAGCAGGCATCCTTCAGGAGAGAGTCCATAAGCCAAACACTAGTCAGAGTTCAGTTCTAGGGAGTCACTGTGTCTAGCCTTCATGCCAAGAGATGACAACAGTGAGAGTGGATTGGTATGTCGACCACATCTCTAGTAAGAGAGTCCGTATGAATTAAAAAAGCTGGAGCAAGGGTGGAGCCAGGGAATCTGAATCAGCTCAGAAGCAGGGTTTGCGCGAAGGACAATTTTGCTACGCTCAGTTTGTTCCTTGGCAGAATACCAGAATACCCTTTTCCAGCAGATCTTCATGGACTGTTCACTCAGACTCAGAGAATATAGAGAGTTGGCTATAATGAGATTCTGCCTTTACTAGCAGGAAAGTTATTACATCACTGGGGAGAGAAAGGTAAAGACCTTACATTTCAATGGACTTGGTTTTTTTAAAAATCAAATGTTTTTTTCTTATAGGTAAGATTTTTCATTTTTTGAGTATAGAACTGAACGGAAAGTAATTCCAGGGCTGTGTTTGACAATACAACCAGACTTACATCCTTTTGGATAGGTATGGCCAGCATTTACATATCACTTTATGGGTAACAAAGTACTTTACAAATCTCTTATTTGTGTCTCACAACAATTTTGGGTTACAGGCCTTGTTATTATCCTCATTTTACAGATGAGGAAACTGAGGCAGACAGAAGTTAGTTGTCCAGGATCACACAGCTAGTATATATCAGAGGCAGGATTCAAACTCGGGTCTTCCTGAGTACAGGTCTAGCACTCCATTCGTTGTGCTCCTAGCCTCCTCATGCCTAGGGATAAAGTAAGCAAAAGATTATATCTCCTTTGTATCCTTCACAGCACCTAACCCCCTTCAACAGAATCGACACTCAGAAAATGATCATTAGATAGGTAAATGATCAATCAGACTCAAGAATGTGCTATTGGACCTTCCCATTCATTCTAGTTGTATTTTGAAATTGGTCCTGTAATAGATGTGTAATCATGTAACACGTGTACAATTCCTTTGGACATTAATATTCTATTCTTTCAACTTAATCCAGATTCCAAGCTGACAGAAGCTAGTAAGGTATGTCCTTATTGGTGTCAAACTAGTCTTAAAGCCATATTCTAAAGAACTGCTTATGAACTTCAGCTTTAGGGTTTTCCATGTCTATTCAGTAATAAATTTCCCAAGATTAATTTGGAAGAGGCAGAACAATAATAAGCAATCAATATTGAATATTTGGAAATGTGACCTAGAATGTAGAAAGAAGTTTTTACCCGATCATGTGAAAGTGCAGGCAATATTATTATCTTTATATGGTAAGTCATAATCTAGTAATTCATGCTATCTCTAGGCTAAACCCTGTTCTAATCACTTATGACCCTAAGCTAATACAAACGTTTTCCTACTTCCAACAAATTAAAAATAAATTTCCACTTGTAGCAACTCAGGGACAATTTCTCAAAGAACAGATTTTTAAACTAGTTTTACTTCGTTTCTGATTTACAACAGAAATTATAAAGGGTCCAAGAATATTCTGTCAAGTCCAACACTTCTGCATTAATGAAATGTCTTAGGAACTTTCTGTAGCATCCTAATGCTACATTTCATTTTCTCAGCATAGAGACGATAACTAGGGCCTTGGTCCCCAAGGCGTAGACATAAGGCACCACTTCCCTGTTACCTCCTTTGGCCTTAGCTGTGCAACACAATCCCATTTTCCCACCCAGCCCCAAGGTCCTACTGCCATGACACCTCTTTCAGAGGGCCCACCTCCCTTCTGCCAGGTCAGGTGTACCCAAGGTTAAAATCCCTAGTTGTGACTTTGCCTCAGTGACTAAAGTATTCTACTAACATCTGAAAGATATTTCTTTTTTTGGGGGTGGGGTGGGGGAAGGTGAGGCAACTGGGGTTAAATGACTTGCCCAGAGTCACACAGCTAGTGTTATGTGTCTGAGTCTGGATTTGAACTCAGGTCTTCCTGACTCCAGGGCCAGTACTCTATCCACTGCACCACCTAGCTGCCCCAAAAAAGATATCTCTTAAATAAAATATGGGGGAAGTTATGCTGGGGGCTCCTGCATTGTGCCTCATCTTTCAGTTCCTTTGCAAATGTAGTCTCAATTCACATAAACATCTTAAATTTCCTCCCTTTCTTTTTACATGCCTTCTTATATGACACAAACATCTTTCTACCTCTTCATTTCTCTATCATCTTCTATACTAAGGAATTCCTAACCTGGGGTCCATGAACTTGATTTATTTTTTAACAATATTTTGATAATTATATTTCAGTATAATTGGTTTGTTTTTTGTTTTGGGGTTTGTTTGTTTTTTTTTTTTTCTTTTTGACGAGGCAATTGCAGTTAAGTGATTTGCCCAGGGTCATACAGCTAGTGAATATCATGTGTCTGAGGCCACATTTGAACTCAGGTCCTCCTAACTCCAGGGCGAGTGCTCTATCCACTGTGCCACCTAGCTTCCATTGTATAATTAGTTTTTATTCACTTAAAAGCATTATTCTGAGAAGGGGTCCACCAGATCACCA